AAGTGTGAAATATCAGTCAGGCCTGGGCCTGGGGTCCAAGCTCTTGGCCAGCCCTCTGGCCGAAGCAGGCGGCCTAGGCTTGCTGAGCCTTGCTTGTCCATAATCACTCCCGGGGGCTGTGAGTGCTCTGAGAAGGACAGATTCAGAAGGTCCTGTGGATTCCCTGGAGAAAAGCCTTTAAGAGGGCCCGGTGTGCCCTGGCAGCGGGTTTGGCTCAGTGAACAGGCCTGCGGACTGAAGAGTCTCGGTTTGATTCCAGTCAAGGGCACATGCCAGGATTTTGAGCTTGATCTTTAGTTGTGGGGGGAGGAGGGAGGTGCAGGAGGCAGCCAATCAATGATTCTCTCCCATCATTGATGTTTCTAGCTCTCTCTCCCTCTCCCTTTCTCTCTGAAATCAATAAAAATACATTAAAGGGGAAAAAAAGAGAGCTTGATGACCCTCTGTCTCTGGCAAGAGGAACAGAATTCAGATCTTAATTTGAATTTAAAATGTGCCAAATGCCTTCCCAGCTTCTGAGCTGTTGCGCTTAATGTTAGACTAGCAAGTCTAAGGAGCCCTTAGTTAGACAAGAAAAATGTGTATGTTTTAGTGTTTCAAAGCTTTTCTTCTCTTTTTGGAGTTGAACTTCTGCGGAGGGAATATCCTAGCACTTGTGGTTGTGGAAGGGATTCCTCAGCAGTGACATAAGCAGGGAAGTGATGTGTGTCTGTGTGTTTTCCAGCACGGGCTCTCTGAGGGGCCATGTGAGCTCGGTAACAGGCAGTGAGCACAGGGTTTCCCTGTTGCCCCGGCCCAGCCAAGAGCAGCTGGGAGGCAGCTCTGCCCTCAAGTGTGCGCACTCAAGTCTGACTCGTGGCTCCTCCGCGTGGGTGCAGGGGGGCTACAAATGTGCACTGGGCAGGCCCTTCAGGACCACCCAGAGGCCTGAGCTCCAAGCCCTACCCTGTGTGGGTCAACTCAACACCAGGCAGTGAACAGGGTCTGGGTGGTGGGCCAGGACCACTCAGAGACCAGTATCTGGGAGCCTAGAGCACAGGCTTGGAGTCAGAGCTGTTTTCATCCTCGTTTACCCACGGATTGGCTGTATGAACTTGGAGAAGTTGCAAAAGCCAGCCAAATTTTCTTGATTTTTCCCTGGAGTGTGGTTCACCATTAGCCTGCTCATAGGTTGTCTTGGGAATTGAGTGATTAATGGACAGGAAGTTCTGAGCAGGAGTTTGTCCTGTAATGACTTGGTTGGTGTTTGATAAATAAGGGCCCTAGCGGTCATTATTATTCAGAGAAGAGGCAGGCCTTGTGGTTGGGAGGAAGCCTGGCAGGGCCCATGAAGGGGAGAGACAGTATTTTGTTGAATGAATGAATGAATGAATGAATGGGGTGGATTTGAGCCCAACAGAGCCAGAAGGAGTTGGTTCCATGGAAGGTGAATAAAAGACATCTCTTTGTAAAGGGACAATGATTATAAACCGGCACAGGCCACCCTCCTAAGGCTTTGTAGGAAGCAAGTCCCTCTGGACCTGCACTCCACCATGTAGGTACACAAATAGACACATGCTTCATCCACAGACACCCACACAACGCACAGACAGACGCACAGCCCTGAGCATACACATAGTCACGCTCAGACACACACAAAAAGACTCATCCCTCAGAGATGTGTACAGATACATGGACACAGACACACAGAGACATACATGCCATCACTCACGCCATCACACACACCATCACACACAACTGAGCTGGTGAAATAACAAGGACAGTGACACCTGTTCTAGCACTTTCACTTCTCCAAGCCCTTTTTTTTTTTTTTTTTTTTTTTGTGGGGCAAAGGAAAGGAGTAAGGATATTTTTCCCATTGATTTTTATTTTTCAAATATCTTTTTATTGATTTCAGAGAGGAAGGGAGAGGGAGAAAGAGACAGGAACATCAACGATGAGAGAGAATCATTGATTGGCCGCCTCCTGCACGCCCCCCACTGGGGATTGAGCCCATATACCAGGCATGTGCCCTGACCAGAACCAAACTCAGGACCAACCCTTCAGTCCACAGGCTGACACTGAACCAAAACAGCTAGGGCTCCATTGATTTTTAGAGAGTGGAAGTGAGGGAAGAGAGAGAGAGAGGGAGAGAAACATCTAGGTGAGAAAGACACATCCATCTGTTGCCTCTCACACATGTCCCGATCAGGGGCAGGAATTGACAGGAATCGAACCCACCATGCTCTGGTACACAGACCGACCCTAACCACTGAGCCATGCCATCCAGGGCTCTCTCCAAGCCTTATTTTCCACATCCTAGAGCTCACCTGGCTTTCCCCACCAGTTGTACTTCTGCTGAGGGGGTGCTGTCTTCCATCAGGACAAGGGTACAGGGGTCTGCCTAGCTCCCCCCACCCCAGGCCTTCCGTCTCCTGTTGCAGCTGGGGTGCTGACGTCCACATTTCACACCTGGTGAGGGTGTGGGGTGGGGTGAGAGGGCAGGATCTGTGAATGTAATAAAGGCCTTGGGCCTTGCCTGCCCTGTGAAGCCACAGAGCTGCTGTTACAGCGGTAACTTTCCTTCTGGGCATTACACATCCCCGGCTGGAATTCCAGCTTGGCTTCCGAGGTGGGGAGAGGCAGGAGGGGGCTGGCCCGCGGCTGGCTTAGCCCTCAGTCAGGCCCTTTCTTGGCTCGCCCCTGGCCACGTGTCTTGGTGGCACGGGTCCTGTGGCCTGAATGGAAGCTGTAAAGAATCTGGGATCCAAGCTGGCCAACATCATCCTGCCACTGGCGGCCTTCCTTCCACTCCGCGTGGAGAGGAACCAGGGCCAAAGGCCATCACTGCCGCCCAGCAGGGCTGGTGGGCGGGGCCTGGCTTTGCACCCTGAAGCTAGAGGCCAGGAGTCAGGAATGCCTGGGCATCGAAATAATGGCCCTGTTCAACCTTGTGGTTCATTTGCACCTTCGCTGGCATTTGGGTGGAGTCTCTGGGTTTCCCCCTGCCAAGCCCAGCCCCCCCCAACCCCCTCCCCCTCAGCCTAGTCCAGGTCAGAGAGCTCCTGACCACGTACCTCGGGTGGTCCTGGGGAGGCAGTTGGGGCCAACCAGCTTTCTCATCTGGGTCAGGGAGGGCAATCGCTGTAAAGCACGTCCTTCTGCAGTGTGAGGCCTGCACGAGGGAAAGCACAGGAAGCCTCCCTGTGGGGTTCACGCCCAGTAGGTGTTACAGTTTTCATTTCCTTGGATCCGAGTACACATGTGGGGCTGGGGTCAGTGGGCGCTGGAGGGGAGGCGGAATTAGTCATGTCGGGCCGTGGGCACCTCTCTAAGTAAGTGGCATTACTCCATGGGCACGAGTGGACGGTCAAGGGACAAGATTACAAAGAGCTTTCTGGTGGCTGGCAGGGGGAGATGGATGGACGGTTAGATGGAGGCAGGGGCTCAGCAGGGAGCTCAGCGCCACGTGCAGTGGCAGCGGCAACAGCAGAGAGGAGGGGCTGGCAGTGAGAGGTTGGGGGCAGCTTCCCCGTGTTTGAGGGAGATGGGGTGAGCCTCGGAAAAGCATAAATCCCAGGACAGCCTCGTTCGTTCCTCTCACCCAGCGTGGCCTCTCAAGGCCACTGTCCTTCTACTGGATCCCTGTGACCCAGGAGGAGGCGTGGGGCAGGGACATTGCTGCTCAGTGTTGGGGTGTGGGGGGAAGAGCCCAACCCCAGCTGTGGTGAGACAGGAGTCTGCCCCCCCCTGAGCCTCCTCTACCTCCTCCGCCGGGACCTGCCTCTCTCACTCGCTGTCTCATGGGTGGGGCTGAGGGTGAGTGAGTCCGGGCCTTTCCAAAGCCTCAACACTTCAGAACCGTTCCCTTTCCTGCCACAGACTGTGTCCACCCTCCCCTCCTGGTCCCCAGGGCGTGTCCCCCACTAAGCAGGCCTGGGTCCCTGCACACGCTCCCCTCCATGCTTCTCTCCAAACTCGGCTCCTACTTTCCTGTGATGTTCTCACTTAGAAATGTCGACCCTGAGATACTGACTGGGTGGTGTGCAAGGTGCACCATTAGCTGCAGGGGAGCTGAGGCTCATCTGCCTGAAACTTCAGTCTTAGGAGAGACACACACACACACAGTCACACACACACACACACACATAGAATCACACAGTCACACACACACACAGATAGAATCACTCAGTCACACACACACATATACACACAGTCACACACATACAGAATCACACAGTCATATACACAGAATCACACAGTCATACACACACACACACACACACACACACACAGATAGAATTACTCAGTCACACACACACATATACACACAGTCACACTTATAGAATCACACAGTCACACACACACAGAATCCAGAGTCATACACACACACACACACACACACACAGATAGAATTACTCAGTCACACACACACATCTACACACAGTCACACACATAGAATCACTCAGTCATACACACACACACACACACACACACACACACAGATAGAATCACTCAGTCACACACACACAGATAGAATCACTCAGTCACACACACACATAGATAGAATCACTCAGTCACACACACACATATACACACAGTCACACACATAGAATCACACAGTCACTCATACACATAGCCACACACATGCATTGCTTTGGAGCAAAATACAAAATGCAAATTAGTTATAGGAGAACGTGAAAATCCAAAGAGCATGTTCTCTCTTCTCCTGTAGTTTGCGACTTTGCAGGAGGGCTGCTGCCTCTCTCTTGGGCTTTGTGGGGGACATGGGACAGGCTGCTGGCCCTCCTCGTCTGATGGCCAGCTCACCCCGCCCCCGTCCTCGGGTGCCCGCAGTCACACTCCCTCCCACGTGTGACGCTTTATCACTGTGGCCTGTGCTGCGTGCTCCTGGGCAGGCCCGTAGCCCCTGCGGGGCCCGAGGGTGGAAGAGGCTAGCCGAGACCCCGCCCGCCCCGGGCCAGGGAGTCACCGTCTCCTCGGGGCCCTCTCCTTCCCAGAACCTGAACATCCAGGTGGAGGACATTCGCATCCGGGCCATCCTCTCCGCCTACCGCAAGCGCACCCCCGTGACGGAGGGCTACGTGGAGGTGAAGGAGGGCAAGGCCTGGAAGCAGATCTGCGACAAGCACTGGACGGCCGCGAACTCCCGCGTGGTCTGCGGCATGTTCGGCTTCCCGGGGGAGAAGATGTACAACGCCAAAGTGTACAAGTAAGAGGCCGCGCAGAGCGCTGTTTCCTGGGGGATGTGGGGGTCCCCGCTTTGGGAGGAGCCTAGGCTGCACAGAGGGGCACCGCCAGCTGGCTGTCATGTGCAGGCCTGGCCCTGAGGAACTCACGCCTGTGGATGACAGAGGCGGGGCTGGGGGGGGGGGGCAGAGGTAGGTTTGGGGGGAGGGCGGTATGGCAGAGGTGACGTGCAAGAAAAGCCCCACCGCTTAGTGCCCACAGCCAGCTCCCTGACCACCGGGGCCGAACAGGGTCAACACCGACTTAGGACATGTTTGCGTGCCCTCAGTAAATGATTAGTTTGGAAAATCTGGGACTCACACTGTTAGGAAATCCGATCGGTTGCACCAGTCCCAGAGCAATCTTATAATTTAGTTATGGTTTCCAAAGTTAGTCTCTCCCGCAGGGAAAGGAGTAGATAATAACAGGACTTCGAGCAGTTCTCCCAGGGAAGGGGCTTCACCCGTGACAAGCGGGGGGGGCAGGGGGCCGGGCCCCGGGTGGGAGCGGGCCTTCCTGTCTCCTCTCATGGTGACTGGTTTCCCGAGGGCTGACCGGGAGCCGGGCCCTGTTCTCAGCCATTGAATCCTCACGGCTTCGGGAAGCAGGGGTTGATTTCACAGTTGAGGAAACGGAAGTCAGGGAGGAAAGTGGCAGATCTAAGATCCAAGCACCCGTCTCCAGCAACGGGGTCCCAGCTCTTTCCTTTCAAGCGAGGAGATGTGGGACCCAGACCCAGCTCCCCGTCCTGGTCCCCGGGCTCAGGGCAGACTGCAGGTCCTGGGCTTGGCTGGGCCGTTTTGGGTCAGAGTCCCCAGCCCACCTTGAGGCTGAGTGCTGGTGGCTGAGCAACTCAGCTGGGCGGGCTCACCGCCCTTCTGGGGGTGAGTCTGGTGGTGACCCGCACCCCAGACACCCTCAGATGTGGCCCAGACTTTCCTGTTTGCATTGGGGTTCCAGTCCTCTCAATACTTTGGAGGATTCCTGCCAGCTGGCCAGCTTCTTCCCTGGAGACACCTTCTCAGCTTTTCCTGTCATGGGAGCCAAGAAAAGCAGACCCACCCACTCCTACCCCCGATCCCCCACCCCATCCAGCTCCCATCTGGCTGCCCCCCAGTGCCCCGGCTGACAGCTGGTCTGTAGCCAGTGCTGGGCCCGGGAAGGCTGCCATCAGCCCTGCCCAGGGCAGGACAGGGTCCCTGAGGCCGGCTGCCTGTGCCTGTTCAAAGGTGTTTGAAAGCAACCCCCCAACTGCGGCCGGCCCGAGTGCTTTCCCTGGTTTCGAGGATGCATCTCAGATCTATGTAGGCAGCGGGTTCTTTTACATGCTGGTTTTAAAACTGCCTCCCTGGACCTCCCATCCCTGAGTCTGTGCCTTTGCTCTTTCCAACGGGGACAGAAGAGGGCCTCAAACTGGGAGCATCCGGGGTGCTGGCAGGTGGTATTTTGGGTTCTGGCTGCTGCAAACCAGCTGTTCCTTTGGACCTGCAGTTGGAGGTGGTGTGGGGGGCAGGAGCACGGGGCAAAGCCTTTTCGGCTGGTCTCTGCCATTTTGGTCTCTGGGACTCCGCTGACAATCGGGCCCCCCAAAGAGAAGGTGCGTGGGGAGAATGTTCTGTGCCTCGGTGGTGCTGTGAGGGGTTGAGATGGCAGCCAGCTGGAGAAGGCTATTAGCGAAAGGCATGGGGCAGCGTCAGAGGTCACCCGGGCCAAGCCTCCGTCTGCATGATGAGAGACCCAGGCCTGAGGGCAGTGGGTTTGGGAGTCACAGAGCCCACTCCTACCAGAGCCAGCAGGGCTATTGGGTTGCTGTCCACATTGCTACCTCACCTTCAGACCTGCTCCAGCTCTGGCCACTTGGCCCGGGCTCCCACCGCGGGGCTTGCTGTTATGCCAGAGCTGGAGCAGGGCTGGCTTGAGGGTGGGATGTCTGTGAGCCCTGCTCCAAAATTGAGAACAGAAGCCTGGGAGCCAGAGAGAGAGTCACCCTCCTCATGGTCCCTGAATCTGAGGCCAGTTTCATCTTTCTCATTTCCCTTTCCCTTTCTTAGCCGGCCCAGGGGAGCCTTTCACTCTAGGAAGGAAATTGTTCTCAGAGTAATTGCGACTGGAATGGTGTTAGTAATCTCTCCGCACACACCAGGCCCCTCAGGGGCTTGGCAGCCATGGAGGCTCACCAGGGTGCAGCCAAGGCTCCCTCTGCAGCCCTGCAGGTCTGATGGCCGCTCAGAGTCTTCCCCAAGGCCGGACTGCAGCTCTTCCTCAGCTTCTGCCAGCCACCCCGTCCTCCAAGTCAGAGGCATCTGGGGAGGTACCCACATGTCCCCAGAGGCCTCTGCATCCAAAGACTCACCCAAGATGGCGTCCAGGGCTCCCCAACACGGGCTGATTTGCTATGAGCTTTCTGCTCTGGGCTGGGGGGGCCCTCGTAGTCTCAGGGTCCATCCCAAGGGCAGGAGCAGTTTGTACTGTGGGGTTTTTTTTGGTTTTTTTTTTGCCTGAAAGCAGGAGCCCGCTATTGATGTGATTTTTTGACACAAGCAGGAATTCTGCATCTGGGGTGAGTGGAAGGGTTGGCTGAGACACGGAACCAAAGGGTCCGTGAGTGGAATGGAAATTCACTCCTTGGTTTCAGGTAGAGGAAGGAATTCGAAGTATTGATGCAAGAAACATCCAAACCCGTGGGGAATTTTAATAAGTTTATTTGAGCCAAACTGATGACATTTGCCAGGAAGCAAAATCTCAACGCATTGAGCAAAATTCTCTGTAGAATGGCAGTTTTACAGCTTATTTTATACCTTAGAATAAAAACGGAAGATGTGAGGAGGGAGCAGGGAAATCTCTGACACTGGGTACAATGAGGAGGCAAGTGCTTTTGCATGGTGGGTACCGGATAGTTCACAATGAATGTTTACAGCACATGGAGATAATATTTGGGCAACAGGAGGACCATGAGGGGGTTCTGTGGTCTCATACTCTGGTGCAGTGGGTGTGCCCGGAGGCGTCTGGGAAGGAGATGACAGCTGACAGTCTAAGGGTCTGCTATCTTAGATGCACAAAGACAATTGACTGGCTCACTTATGGTGAAGATGGACCATTGTCAGGAACTACAGGCCATGATCCACTTTTAGGGCTTTTAGGTTGGAGAAAACAAAAGAGGGAAGAATCTATAGGGTTGGGTAAACAGTATAAGGAACAGACACATAGCTCTTTTACAAGGCGGTACAGGACAGCTAACCGTCAACAATAGTGCGATAACAATAACAATGGGGGATTAGTGGTCTCTGCTCTGTGCAATTGTTGTGCCCCAGGAGTCTGGGGATAGGGGGTGGAGGGAGGATTACCCCAACATTCCAAAAGGTAGATGCAAAGACAATAGACAGGCTCAGTTGAGGTAAAGATTGATCTTCCCTGGAAGATACTGGCCTAGGAAATGACTACCTTCCAGGACCTGCTTTTAGCTAGAAAGTTAATTTCGGTCTGTCTGGTTACTTTACAGTGGATTGCAGACCTCCCCTGAGCTTGTCAGGTTTATATGTGGCCCTTTCCATCCACACCTACTTCCAAAGTGTGTAATTGGAACAGACGTGCTCAGCAGCTGGCAGAATTCCTGGGAAAGCAGGGTTCCCCTTGGCTGGGAGGGAGCCAGCAGGACTTTTTATTTTTAATTGAATCAGTCCAGCCATAGAATGGACAGTTCTTTCTCAGGCAGGCTTCCCATCCATGCAATGGCTCTTCCCTGACTCCGCTCCCTCTCCAATCCCTGGGCCTGGAGTGGCTGCCCACCCATCCTCCCCAGCGCTTCTCTGCACCCCCTGGGGCCTGTTGGGGGGTGAATTGTGGGGGAGGGGTGGGTGCTGCCCGCTGGGAGCCTGTGGAGGGTCAGAGTGCATTACTGTGAGCTGATGTAAGAGGGCGGCCTGGCTGCCTGGGGAGGTGGCAGCATTCAGCACGTCTGTTCCTGGCAGAGCTGCTGTTTCCTGAAAGCTGAGAGCAAGGATTCTCCCAGCCCTGCAAGCTGGCCAATCCTTGTGCCGCTGACCCGACCCCCACCTCCCCGAGCGTGCTCTCTTTCCCGATGTGGGGGTGTCACGGGGAACACGCCGGAGGCTGAGGCTCCAAGTGCAGGGCCTGCAGGAAGTGGGGAGGGGCAGAGGTTCCCGGAATTATCAACAGTCCCCCTGGGTGGTTACCGCTCTGCTGAGCACACTTCCAGAACTTTCCCGGACAGTCCTTGTTTCAAAGATTCCATGTCATCGCTCCCACACGCATACTAGAATTGTTACAAGTCTCAGTTTTTGGTTAAGGAGAGATCCTGGTGGTGGCCATAGGGTTTTTCCTCCCTCTGTGTTCAGATCCCATCCACTGGGAGACAAAGCAGAAACTCCCAGGCCTGCCGGGCCAGCAGGGACAGGACCTTGCTCTGTCCCCTCCCCTCCAGGGGCCAGGACGCCCGGGGCCCCTCTGAGCAGCCAGCACACATGCAGTCTGGCCCTCTGCCATCTCCCTGGGCTCTGGCGAGCTGGGACAAGCACACGGACCCATCTGAGCGACGACAGTGTGGGAGGACAGGGGATCCTCGGTCCTCTGCCTTCACAAACCCTGCCTCTGTCCCTACAGCCACCCTTTTCTCCTCTCTTCCTCTTCCGCTTCACCCAGTACAGTCTTATTTATCTTACAAACACGTATATAGCCCTTCCAATGTGTTGGTCATGGTTGCTCATTTAATTTTTCTAACGGTCTTACCAAGCGGATCCTAATGCTACTTCTAACTTGGAAGATGGGGAAACTGGGGCACAGTACCCTGTCTGTTAACCAGTTCATTACTCATGGACAGTTACTGTTTTAGAAAAAGCTCGGACCCCCTCGCCTGCCTTCCAGAAAAAGGGGCTGCGGGTAAGAGCCTGCCGAGGACGAGAGATGGAGACAAGCAGGCTCACTGGGCCCGGGTGAAGGGCTGATGAGGTCTATGGCTGAGTTTCATCATCAGTGTGATATTTTTATCAGGCAAACTACATGCTTACTCAGCAGGCGGTGTAGCTTCATACTGTCCTCATTGGATTTGCATGGTTTGGGGTCTTGTAGATCATCAGGAGAGAGCTTACCCATCAAGCTGTACTGCTCATTGACAAAGGGAAATAAAGGCAGGGGATGACAACAAATATTGAGATTATCTGGACAATACAGTTTTGTTTTGTTTTTAAATATATTTTATTGATTTTTTTTACAAAGAGGAAGAGAGAGGGATAGAGAGTTAGAAACATCGATGAGAGCGAATCATCGATCAGCTGCCTCTTGCTCACCCCCTACTGGGGATATGCTCGCAACCAAGGTACATGCCCTTGACCGGAATCGAACCTGGGACCTTTCAGTTCCCAGGCCAACGCTCTATCCACTGAGCCAAATCGGTTTTGGCTGGGCAATACAGTTTTATGTATTATCTTACAAATTCACTGAGAGAGAGAAAGAGAGAGAGAGAGAGAGAGAGAAAGGCATCGATTGGTGGCTTCTTGCACCTGACGGGGTGCTGAACCCACAACCTAGGTACATACCCTGACGGGTCTCGTCTCTTTTAGACGCCTTTTCGAATTTTGTGTTTATAGGCTTTGGTATTATCTCACTTCACTGAGTCAGTCCCTAGTCTCCTAGCTGCTGGGGGGCCGGAGGCCACGAACCTTTCCAGGCCCTGCCCCGCAGTGCCCAGGGCAGAGTGCTCAGGGAGTGCTTGCAGACACGCTGTGCGGATCCCCTTCCGTGAAGGCAGCTGAGCTCCAGGAGCAGAGACCATGCCCTCTGGTCCTCCCAGCGAGCTCCCAGTAGCAGCACCGTGGCTGGCCCGGGGCAGAGCCCAATGCCAAGTGCAGAAGCAATGAGGGTGGGGGCCGTGACCCCCCGTCACCTGCCCCATCCGCCTCCCTGCAGAATGTTCGCCGCCCGGAAGAAGCCGCGCTACTGGCGGTTCTCCATGGACTGCGCGGGCACCGAGGCCCACGTCTCCAGCTGCAGGCTGGGCACGCAGGTGACGCGGGACCCCGTGAAGAACGTCACCTGTGAGAACGGGCTGCCGGCCGTGGTGAGCTGCGTGCCCGGCCAGGTCTTCAGCCCCGATGGACCTTCAAGATTCCGGAAGGCCTACAAGCCAGAGGTGAGGATGGGCAGGAGTGTTGGGGTGTTGGGGATGGTGGTGGCGGTGAAGGGAACAGACGGGGATTCCCAGGAGAGAGGGAGGAGAGCCAGCCCAACACAGACCCCGTTTCCCAGAGGTCAAGGCCGACAGCCACCTCCAGGAGTGACAGGCAGCTGGGCCCCCGCCCCCAATCATTAGCACCCCTCCCACCACCGCCACAAAACTCTGAGACCCAAGTCCCTGCTGAGACAAATCCCAGCGAGCCGAGGGCCTGATTATCCAGACGGTGCTTCTGCACAGTCCCCGGAGGACAGAAAGCTTTAGGTTAGTGGTCGGCAAACTCATTAATCAACGGAGCCAAATATCAACAATTCAACAATTGAAATTTCTTTTGAGAGCCACGTTTTTTAAACTTAAACTTCTTCTAATGCCACTTCTTCAAAATAGACTCTCCCAGGCCGTGGTAGTTTGTGGAAGAGCCACACTCAAGGGGCAAAGAGCCGCATGTGGCTTGCGAGCTGCAGTTTTCTAACCACGACTCTAGGGCTTTGGAAACACGCCACATACAACAACCCTCAGAAGCACGTGACACGAGCTACAAAGGTTTCCAAGCATATTTTGGATCATTTTGCAACGGGAAGGATTAAAATTTTAAAAAGCTCTCACAAAGATAGGAAATGAAAACCTGCCACTAGCATGCGTATGTTTGTGCACCAGCACCTGTGAGTGTGTGAGTGTGTGTGTGTGTGTGTGTGTGTGTGTGCGCGCGTGTGCGTGTGCATACATGTGTGGGAGTGTCCAGAGATGGAAGTGGGGAGGGGTGGTAGTTCTCAGAATTACCAACAGTCCTCCTGGGTAGTTCTATGAGCAAGACACATAGCTGCTCATACAAATGAACATCCCATTTCAACTGACTGGTTTCCCGGGACAAGAGAACTGTCCCAAACAGGGCAGCATCTCTGAGGAAGAGAGTGCACTTCTACTACCTTGGAGGACCCGGGAGACTTGCCTTGTTCCTGCTCTTCTTTCTTCATGGGTCCCGGGACGTGCATGTCCATGGGGACCGGGGTGGGCACAGTGGGTGGGAAATACACATGCAGGAGGAGAGGGAGGGGTGGAAACGAGCACTGAGCCCTTAGTAGGGAATGATTCCCTGCGCCAGATCTAACCTTGGAACTTAGGAATTCGGTGGCTGGACAGGGGTGAGTTCCCGGCCGGCTCTGACCACGGCAGGGGCAGGAGGAGGGGAAAGGTCATGATGGGGGCAGATGGTGTGTCCAGCCAGTGGGGCCAGAGCAGACCCTCCCAAACCTGGTGGATTTTGTTGATCGAGGCAGCTTCATTCCTTCCCCTTCTCCTCTCCTTACCCCCCTGCCTGTCCCTTCTCCTTGCCCTCCTGTCTCTCCCCTTCACCCTCTCCCATGGCCCCTCCCCACCAACATCAGTGACCTGCTTTGGGAAAGAGGGTAACAACACATCCACCCCAAAAGGGAAACCAGGACCAAAGACAATAAAGCATACTGGGGTCCCTCCCACACCCGGGCCCTGCCCACACTGGGCCCCGCCCACACTGGGGCCCCGCCCACACTGGGGTGGTGTGTTGCAGCCCAACATCAACCAGAGGGCCCCCCATAGGGGCCTCCAAAGTGTACAAACCTGACCCCACAGGTGTGCAGCCCCATGACACCTGATCAGTGCCAGCGCCCCCGCCCTCTGCTGTCCCCTCCACACCCCCACTTGGGCCCCTGCCATGCGATTTGATGGCCACATCCTTTGAGTGGCCTCAGCATGAGCCTCTGAGCTTTCCTCGTGTGTCGGATCCCAGGCCCTACTGTTTGGAAATTCCTCTGACTGTGTGGTTTAAAGCAGATGAATCAAGTCCATTCCAAACCAATTAAAAAAGCAAAAAGCAAGGGAGCCTGACATCACTTTTTCCTTTGGTTCCTCGCTCCCCTCCAGGCCCGCTGACTCGGCCTGGCCACTGAGGTTGCTGGCGCTTAGCCTCTGCTGAGCGTGGGTCAGGGATGGCCTGCTCCATGGGAAGGGGGCTGGCATCCAGCCAGACAGCTTGGGAAGGAGCTGGGCGAAGGGAGGGTCCTAGGCTGCAGGGAACCGGCTGGAGCCAGCAGTTACTTGTTTTGCTAAAATCAGAGCTCCTGAAGCCAGTGGGCATTTTGCACCCACCTCGTCCCATTTTTTGTCTCCCGAGCAGTCCCTGAGAGCTGAAGGACTGGGTGCTGTCACAGCACCCCACCCTGCCATGGAAGCCATGAGGCGCAGTTAGTTGGGGGGGAGAGAGATGTGACCGAGGGGGAACCTCGGCTGGAGGATGAAGACACGGGTTTCGTCTGATCCCTGGGCCCTCAAGGTGGCTGGTGTATATGTGAATGTTTAAAAACCTCTACTTCCAGCCCTGGCCTGTGTGGCTCAGTGGGCTGGGTGTTGTCCCATGCACCAAAAGATTGCTGGTTCGATTCTGGGTCAGGGAACATACCCAAGTAAGGGGAATGCAGGAGGCAATTGATGTTCAGCTCTCATATCAATGTTTCTCTCTCTCTCTCTCTCTCTCTCTCTCTCTCTCTCTCTCTCTCTCTTTCTCTCTCTCTCTCTGTATCTTTTCTTCTCCCTTACTCTCTTTTTAAAATCAATTTTTTGGGAAAATTTTTAAAAACACCACTCCAACCAGGCCTGCTTTGCCTGGGCCATCAGTGGGGAGGGGATGGGGTGAAGGGAGCCCCGGGTTGAGGATTACACAAGCCAGAGTAGAACAATGACTGTTCTGATCCAACACACATGGGACAGCTGCACAGTCACCCCTTACTCCCTCGGTGTTGAATCAAATGAGAGTCAATAGAATCAAACCCCGAAGCCTTTGGGGTCCCCCACTCCAACACACATGTACAGGTACACACATGCATGCACACCCAAGGATGCACAGAAGCAGATGCAGACTCAAGTGTGTGGCAGACGGAGTCAGGTGACCAGGCTCCCTTCCTGTAAGGTGCGGTCCAGTGGGTAGAGACGCTGGTGGAGAGGGGCTCTGACTCCTGTGCGATGAAGCAGGCCCCATAGGAGATCAGGCTTCCAGGCTGTAGTGAGCGTCAGGGGTGTTTCATCTGTAACCGCCCATCCTGTCTGCACCTTCCGAAGAGTGGGGCCTCTGAGACCGGAGTGGGGTCAGGGTCAGGCCTGAGAGGTGGACAGGCAGGCCCGGTTTTACAGGCTGTTAGTCAGGTGGAACGACATCCACCTGGGGTCTGCGGACTTGGGGGTAGGAGCTTCTTTCTGTAGCTCGAATGCTTGAGGTTCTGGGTGGAGGGGAGTGCTGGTGGCAAGGTCCTTGAACCAGGCATGGGTTGGGGAACAAGCTGATGAGGGTCCTGCTGGGCTCCCCAGAGGCCCAGGACTAAAGCGCCATAAGAGACTGCCAAGCAGAGCGACCTTGCAGAGTGAGTGTCCCGGCCACACACACACACACACACACACGCACACACACACACCAGTTTTAGCTCCTGGGCCCGGTGACTGGGCTTGGGGTGGGCAGTTGGGAAGGGAGCGGGTGGGCACTGAGTGCCTGCTGAACGTGCACCAGCCTCTTCACTCATCAGAATCGTGTGTCTCTTCAGCAGCCCCTGGTGCGGCTGAGAGGTGGTGCCAACATCGGGGAGGGCCGCGTGGAGGTGCTCAAGAACGGCGAGTGGGGTACCATCTGTGATGACAAGTGGGACCTGGTGTCTGCCAGCGTGGTCTGCCGAGAGCTGGGCTTTGGGAGCGCCAAAGAGGCCATCACGGGCTCCCGGCTGGGGCAAGGTAAGGTGTGGGGGACGTGCCAAGGCCTCTGTCCATGGGGACCATGGCTGCTGGGGCTTCCCAGGCTCTCCCTGCATCTCCTCCCACCCCCAGCAGCTGCTTCTCTTAGAGACTCTCAGGCCTCTCCCTGGGTAGTCAGGGCCTCAGGGAACACCCAGTCCCCACGTTCCGGATTTGGAAGCTGAAGCCCAAAGAAGGGAGATGAGACAGCATATCAGCAGTCAATGAGTAACGGGGCTCTCCCAACCCCTAACCCAGGGCTCCCACTGCCTTGCTGAGCACCTGGAAATCTTGGGAGGGTCCTCCAGGAGAGGGCCACAGAGTTCAGGCTGTGGACCACCCGAGGCACAAAGGAACCTCCATGACTCTTCCACTCCGGCACAGCCCCGCAAAGCTCTCCCTGGGAACGTGATGCTCCTCTCCGATGTCATGGGATGCTAAGGAGAGGGGCCTGGTTTTTATTAAGTGTCCTGAACAAATGTTCTGTTTGAGCAAAAAACAAAACACAAGGGACTCTCGAGCTGAGAGCAATGTTGAGGACGTGACATGACAACACATCAGAGAGCGTCCCTTCCCGCCCGGCCGGGAAGGCCACTGACCTGTGCGAGCCCCGGGTCTTCGGAAGGAGGCTCTCCAGCCAGACCCTGCAGCCCAGTGTGCCCGGCCTCTCCTGGGAACCGTGGGCTGGGCTGGGAAAGCCGCCCTGGGTGCAGACCAGCTGGGCGGCTGCAGTGTATGTACCTGGGCTGGAGGGCCCAGGAGGGGGAAGAATGGGCCGGGAATGGGGAGAGCATGGACGGGGAGGGGGAAGAATGGGCAGGGAGTGGGGAGGTGTGTGCTGTCCTGACAAGGAGAGGATGTTTCCAAGCTTTCAGACATAGGGTCATTGCCCCACAGAAAGGAATGCAGTGAGGTCATGGATCCCAGCCCCGAGGAAATAATAGCAAATAATGGTTTGGGAGGCAGCACTGCTGGAGGGGAGCTCGGGCTGTCTACTCGGAACAATGAGGAATTTGGGGCTCTGGAGAACAGCCCGAGATCATCCCATAGTTAATGGTAGAGGAAGACTGAAACCCCAGTCCTCTGACTCAGAGTTGGGCCTTCCCCTTTGCAACAAGTCCTGCGCTCTTTCAGAACACCCTCTGCCGGCACTCTGCAATCTCTGCAAACTTCCTGGGCGTGCACTGAAATTTGGGGTCTAGGGTGGACTTTAATGGTTGTGTGACAGTCCTCCTCCTTCCCGGTTATGGGCTTGCCTTAAATCTCGCATATTTAGTACAGAGCATTTTCCTGGCTGGCTGACGTGATGGTTTGTGCTCTCCCAAGGCCAACAGTGCAGAGGCCGTGCTCGTTTTGAGGAATAAACAGGCACTGGGTAACATAAACATTCCCTGTCTCCCAGGTATGTGCTGTTTGACCCAATTACTCCTCTGCCCGGAGCAGCCAAAGGCTCCCAAGGGCTGCAGGCCTCTGTGAGAATGAGATGTTTGCCCTTTATGATGCATGAAAGAACCAGTGGATGATTTACTATCTGTTGCCACACTGGGTGGGGTCAGCTCTGCTGGGCAGAAAGAGAAAAGTCCACATTCAGTGTCAGGTCACAGGGCAGATGGGATCATTCCTGGCTCCGGCTGGTAGAGTAAGTGACCACACCCAAGTGAGGGCAGTGCAAGGGTGGCCACTGCGAATCCCCGTCCCAGCCCTGCTCCTGCTTGCACGGTGACTTTGCGTGGCCTTCTGGGCCTCAGAGTTCGTCCTGGATGTATGTCTGAGGAGCTGTCTGACTCCAGCCTCCTGTGATTCCCTGACACTTGTGCTTCTGGCCAGCATGCACGTCAGGTCGGAGTCAAGCACTGCGCTTTGTGGTGCGGGACCCCCGGCACGCAGACCGCAGTGACTTCCAGCTATCTATGCATCCGCCAGCATCCACGATTGAGTGCTGCGTGCAGGAAGGGCCTCTGTCTGTTATCTCTGTGTCCTTAGTGCCCAGTCTGTCCCAGCTTGCAGTGCTCTGGGAATATTGATTTTATCAAGAGCGAATGAATGGATAAATGAATAAGTTCCGGTTGCACACGTAGGGCCAGCTGAACTAACATAGTAAAGAAGTTTACACATTCAAGACTCGCATTGTTGCCCTAGCCAGTTTGTCTCAGTGGGTAGAGCGTCCTCCTACACAGGTTCGATTCTGGCCAAGGGCAAATGCCTGGGTTGAGAGCTCAATCCCCAGTAGGGGGCGTGCAGGAGGCAGCCATTCAATGATCCTCTCTTATCATTGATGTTTCTATCTCTCTCTACCTCTTCCTTCCTCTCTGAAATCAATAAAGAAATATATATATATTAAAAAAGACTCGCATTGTCCAATAATAGAAATATTTTGCAAGCCATTTACCTAATTTAACATTTTCTAGACATAATTTTAAATTTTCTAGTAGCCACATAAAATAAATAAGTAAACAAACAAATAAGAAGTAGGAAAGCCCTGGCCAGTGTGGTTCAGTGGGTTGGACATTGTCCCATCCATCAAAATATTGTCAGTTTGATTCCCAGTCAGGGCACATGCCTGGGTTGCAAGCTCAGTCCTCAGTGGGGAGTGTGCTGGAGGCAGCTGATCAATGTTTTACTCCCATATTGATTTTTCTCTCTTCCTTTCCCTCTTTCTCTCTCTCTCTCTAAAAAAAAGAAAGAATATTAACAAAAAGGTAAATTAATTTTAATAATATATTTTCTTTACCTAGAACATATGACGTATTTCTATTTCAACATGAAATCAATGTAAATGTTACTAATGAAATAGTTGACATTTCGTGTACCAACTCCTTGAACTCCAGGGTGTTGTGTACACTTACAGTACACCTCAGCCTGTACTGGCCACAGTCCAAGTGCTACTGCATTAGACAGGGAAGCTCTAGAGCAGCAATTTTCAACCACTGTACTATAAGAATTTTTAAAACGTGCGATACCTAACTATTGAGTCAGGAACACTGGCCTCTTTTCCCTTAGATCAGTGGTTGGCAAACTCATTAGTCAACAGAGCCACAGTTGTCTGACCACTGACTTAGATTATCAAGTAAAACAGTGACAACCACCAACACAACAATAGCAGTCCAATGTGAATGAATCAAAATTTATACATTTTGTCTGATTGGCAAAAAATATATAATACATTTTTTGTAAGCCTCAGAATTTTAGTAATTAGTTTATGTGTACCATGAGATGAAAAGGTTGAAAAATCACTGCTCTAGAGCTTTAAAACCCTTTGCTTGCAATGCCCTATCAGAAAGACATGGGATCATGTATGCCATACACATAAAGCTGAAATAAAACTTTGTGAAACAATGCTAACCTTTACAACATGCAAAACACTGCTGTGTCCTCTTCTCTTCTTCTGGGCTCTTAAAAGGGTGATTGCAATCTGTAGAGTTGTTTGTGGATTCGGAGCCCATACCTGGCCTCCTGTAGACACCTGGGGCCAGGGCTTGTACAAGAATGAAGAGCAGAGCCAAGATGGATGTGGGGAGCCATTCAGGGTACAGTCCAGAGCCCAGGAATAAGCAAAAGCTGGGGATCAGGATGCAGGTCAAACCTAGGTCAACAAGAGAAGCCAGGAGTGTCGGACCCCACTGGCTGTGCTGCAGCTGCACACCCAGCTAGTGCCTTCCATTGACATCTCCTGTCCTGCCCAGCCCACCTCAGAACTGGGTGGTGCAGAAAAAATGGGTGATAAGCACTGGTTTTCCCAGCTCGGTGCTCTGCCTGGTTCCCATGAATATGCATGCTGCAGGAAAGCGTGCTCTGATCGCTGGACCTCGGCCCCCAGCGTCTGAGAAAGCATGTAAGTTTACATCAGTGAGGCCAGAAGAAGACTAACCAGATGTTAGTTGGAGTCTAAAGCATGCTAAGTTCTTGTGTTAATATTTCCCCTAGAGTCTAGCAATCCACAAACACTCATTGAGTAGTATTTGGGCTGCACGGTGCAATGGAGAATTTACTTATTCCATAATCACTTGTAGTAATTGTTTCTGTTCTCTAGGAGCTCATCTCAAGTGGAGAAAATGATATAACCCCAGAGATAACTTACACTAACAAAGAGGTGATGACATGTAAGAGCTAATGCTAAAGCTCTAGCCTGTCTGGCTCAGTGGACAGAGTGTCAAGTGGCGGACTGAAGGGTCTTGGTTTCCATTCTAGTCAAGGGCATGTACCTGAGTTGCAGACTTGATTCCCCGGCCCTATGTGGAACATGCGGGGGCAACCAATTGATGTGTCTCTCTCACATTGATGTTTCTTTTTCTGTCTTTCCCCTTCCCTTTCACTCTCTCTGAAAAATTAATGGAGAAAATAATCCTCTAGTGAGGATTAACAAAATAATATAGTAATAATACTGAAAATAATACCTACCATTGGACCAGTTACTTAATCTTTCATCTCCAGTTTCCTCATTTTATTAGGTTATTGTGATGATTAAATGATTTAATAGAAACAATGTGTATAGGACAGAATCCAGCACAGAGTAAGTGCTCAAATATTAGATATCTTCATCACCACCACCATCATCATCACTGTCATTCTCATCACCACCATCATTATACCATTACCATCATCATCACCACCATCATCATGATCCTCATAATCATCAAACTGGATCTGCCTGATCTAACTGGAGTCCCAGGTTGCTGCCCATTTCTAAGCCCATCTTAATTCATGAGCTGTGGACTCCACTTGCTTCAGGATCCCTGTTTGGGATTTCTATTTTGTCAGTCTTTTCTTTTTTTTCTTTTTTTAAAATATATTTTATTGATTTTGTACAGAGAAGAAAGGAGTTAGAAACATCAATGAGAGAGAGTCATCGATCAGCTGCCTCTTGCATACCCCCTTACTGGGGATATGCCCGCAACCAAGGTACATGCCCTTGACCGGAATCGAACCCGGGACCCTTCAGTCCCCAAGCCGACGCTCTATCCATTGAGCCAAACCGGTCTCGGCTATTTTGTCAGTCTTTTCACTCTGAGTCTTTGGATACTTCCAGCCATAGTGACAGATGTGATTTTTGTAAATTTTGTATAATTCCAGCGAATTGTAGGTTTCATCACTTATGAATTTCCAAGGAAATAGAATTTGGCTTTTATAACATGGATTGCTCTTACAAGTTAATTTTTGGCCTCTGTGAGCCTACATATGGTGTCTTCAGACTCCGTGGCATAGCCAACGGCACTTCCTTTAGGTTCAAAACATAGATAGGCCCTGGCCGGGTAGTTCAGTTGGTTGAAGTGTCATCCTATACACCAAAAGGTTTAGGGTTCGATTCCAGGTCAGGGCATCCCATACACCATAGGTTGTGGGTTTGACTCAGGTGTGTATGGGGGGCAACCGATTGATGTTTCTTTCTCCTTTTGATGTTTTCTCTCACATTCACTTTCTCTCTAAAATCAATAAAACATATGCTTAGGTGAGAATTAAAAAAAAAAAATCATAGGTAGTCACCTCCATCGCTCATATTATGTCCTTGCGTAAGTGTCTGCCTCCCCCACAAACTAACTGAGCACTTCATGGCAGGGGTCTGCCTTCTTCATGTATGAGTCCCCAACACCTAGCACAGAGGCCAACATCCAAGTCCTCAGTGGAGTCAACATCCATCCAGACACTATTTGCAGCACTTCTTATCTGCCGGGGCCTGGTTGAGAGTACAAAAGGAACACAGATACTGGCTCGTGTGGCTCAGTGGTTGAGCATCAACCTAGGAACCAGGATGTTACAGTTCGATTCCTGGTCAGTTGTGGGCTCAATCCCAGTAGGGGGTGTGCAGGAGGTGGCTGATCTATGATTCTCTCTCATCATTGACGTGTCTATCTCTCCCTCTCCCTTCCTCTCTGAAATCAATTTAATATAAAAAGAAACTAAAGGAACACAGGCATGGCGCCTGCTCTTGTGGGCCCTCTGGCCTAGTGGGGAGACAGACACACATTGAACAGAGAGCCATGTGAATGAACGTGAAGCAGAGTGCTCAGTGGGAGGCTCCCTGAGAAGACCCAGCTTAGATGGGGTCTGAAAGGCTTCTCCAAAAAAATGGCATTGAGGCTGAGCTCTGAGAGATGAGCAGGAGTGAATTGCTGAGGACTGAGAGGAAGACAGTCTAGGCAGGGGGTCCATGCAGAGGGAGACACTTGGCTCAGGAGACCAGTTGGCTGAGGGCAAGGAGCTGGCAGAGCCAGAAGGCTAAGTGGAGGTCAGATTCCACAGGGCCTGGTAGGCCATCTGGGGGAGGCAGGCCCTTAACATAAAGACCCAACATAATGTGGTAAAAGATGGAGGTGGCTGCCTATGACTGGATTTTACCATCAGGGCAGTGAGAAGCTACTGCAGGGATTTAAGACGAGACGTGACATAATTCCATTTGCATTAGAAAATCTCTTGGGCTACCGTGTGGAAAATACTTTGGAATAAACAAACGGGAGGAAGACTAGAAACTATTGAATTCATCCAAATGGGAGATGGCAGGGTTGGACTAGTGTTGTAGCAAAAGTGAAAAACACAAAAGCTTTGGGGGAGTGAACAGAATCTGGTAATGGATTGCTTTGGTGAAAAAGAAGTTAGTACTAGAGAAGAACCAGGAGGGTGGAGGGGCCTTTTCCTGGGAAGGGGAAGAGCTGGCGAGGAAACAGACTGGGGACAATCCTACTGTTGGCAATGGAAGCAGAGAACAACAGATGTTGCTCTCAAGAAATTCTGCCTGAAGGGGATGACAGTGATGGGCCAGAGGGAGGTGCAGAGGTCAGGGGAGGGTCTTCGTAAAGATGGGAGGTTTTAGCGGGTGTTCCAGTGATGAGGGTCAAGAAGGTGGTGAAGATCAGGAGAGGGAGAAGGTCACAGACAGGCCAGGGACCAAGATGGGAGTCGATGCAGCCCAAAGCTGGGAACAGTGGGCTTTGATCCATCGCGATGAGTGGCTGAGCTGAGCTGAATGCTGGTCAGCCTGGGAATTCTTTCTCCCCAGCAGTGGGAAGCTTCCCCTTGTTATCTCTGCCTGTATGAGAGCTTCCCGAATGCTCACCAAAGGTCATTTGCAGCATTCTTCCATCACCCCCTTCAGCTCCACTCTCCACCCTTACCCATAAAATCCAGAGGCACATTTGGGTGTGGCAGCAGGGAGCACTGGCAGCAGCCTGGAGATGGGGAGAAGAGAGAGGCCAGGTATTTCTTCTCCCTGCAAGGTCCCTGCGGCCACCCAGGCCCTCAACCAAAGGTAACAGCTCTTCTCAGATGCCTTTCCACACAGCTCCGCTCTCCTGGCTTAGATGTTGGCATCCTCCCCTCACTCCTTCAGGTCTAGGCTGGTGTCTGTGCCCAATGCTAGTGGCCCCCGAGCACTGCACTGTCCTTTGTTCACTACACTCAGTTCATACCTTTAGCGTAAAAATGTATTTTTCTAAGTTTCTTCAGATCATCCAATTTGACCATGCTCTCTCTTCCTAAAGGGACCCGACTATGCAGCGAGAGTCACCCTTTTCAGGTTCATAAATGCATAGAAGATGAAAGTTGGGAAAGGAAACCTCGATATCTTCTAGTTTGTCTCCTTCATTTAAGAGAGAAAACCAGCCGAAACCGGTTTGGCTCAGTGGTAGAGCGTCGGTCTGCGGACTATAAGGTCCCATGTTCGATTCCGGTCAGGGGCATGTATGTTGGTTGCGGGCACAACCCCAGTAGGGGGTGCACAAGAGGCAGCTGGTCAATGTTTCTCTCTCATCGAAGTTTCTAGCTATCTCTCTTCCTCTCTGTAAAAAATCAATAAAATATCTTAAAGAGAGAGAGAGAGAGAGAGAGAGAGAGAGAGAGAGAGAGAATCAATATTCAGGAGGCTGAGCGAGTTGGCCAAGGTCACACAAGTTAGCACAACCCTCATTAGCTCTTATGAGGGAAGAAGATCTCAAGACAAGAAGCAATTCTCTGCAGCGAGGAAAGGCTGGGTCATTGAACTGACTGTGGGAGGCAGTTGGGAGAGTTTTGAGGGTGGGAGAGAATTGTTCTTATTAACTGGGATTTTCTTGCAGAGACTTTCCTTCAGACGCTCACCATGTTTATTTTCTTCTCCAGGGATAGGACCCATCCATCTCAACGAGATCGAGTGCACTGGGAATGAGAAGTCCATCATTGACTGCAAGTTCAATGCCGAGTCCCAGGGCTGCAACCACGAGGAGGATGCTGGTGTGAGATGTAATACTCCTGCCATGGGCTTCCAGAAGAAGGTGAAGGGACGGGGCACAGATGGGACTGCGCCATGTTTAGGTCATTGAGGCTCCAGAAATTACAAACCTATTGGCCTCACGCTGAAGGTTTCTCGCAGGTGGTATGAGGGTACTCTGACAACGATCTCAGGAAGGTCTCAGGCTCTGCTGCATCACTATTCAGGACATTGCCACCTGCCACTTGTAAATGTGCCAGAAAGAAAACATGTGCATAAGCACCACTGTCCTTAGTGGCAAACACTGAGCATCTGCCAGGTGCCACATCCTGCACTGGGCCTGTGGTGTGATGGCAAGGCAGTCCCTTCTGAGGGACTCCAGGTCTACAGCACCTGTGACACCCTTGGCAGGGGCCCTTTCCAAGGGCCCAGAGGAGCCACATTGACAGCAGATCTGCAAATCACAGATATAAGCACAGCACAGTTAGTACATTGGGAATCAGAGGGAAAGAGAGGAAATCTTAACAGCATTAAGTCAGAGACACACCTTCCTGTCCTGAGATAGGACCTCAAAAACCTACCTCAGTGTGTCTCCTGGCTTGGATGTTCTTGCTCACAGGAGTAGCCAACAGATTACTTCCTCTTTGCCAGGAGGGCTCTCCAATGTTACCAAAAGGCCCAGTGAAGCCTATTTGATGTTCTTTGTTATGCCATGAGTGTGGTCGGGTCTGTGCATTAGCTGGTGGGTGGCACATTGGAAGAGCTTTATGAGTGCATATTTTAAAATGAGCAAACATGGCCCTAGCTGGTTTGGCTCAGTGGATAGAGTGTCAGCCTGTGGACTGAAGGGTCCCAGGTTCAATTCCGGTCAAGGGCACATGCATGGGTTACAGGTTCAATCCCCAAAGCAGGAGGCAGCCAATCAATGATTCTCTCTCATCATTGATGTTTCTATCTCTCCCTCTCCCTTCCTCTCTGAAATCAGTAAAAATATACTTTTTTTTTTTTTTTTTTTTTTTTAATGAGCAAACATGGACACATCGGGGTGCAGGCTGGTTCCCCAACTGGGCTCCTGTTCAGACAGTGATTCTTGACCTTGGCACCAGTATGCTAAAGGTGCTACTGAACTTGTGCAACTCATTGCCCAACAGCCAAAAATGGGCACCCAATAGCACTCGTCCAAGCCACATATTTGCTGGTGTATGAGCAGGAGTGTGGGCCAGGGGGCCACAGCCCCACAGCTGCGGGAAGGCCGGCATCTCTGATTGCCCAGCAGCATTCTGATAGCCATAACAGAGCTGCAAATGCCGACTGCACTGAGTCTGCTTGCTGTGGCACCATTCACTTCAGACAGATTGGAGCTGGGTGGAGTGGGGAACGATCTGGGCCAAAGGAAGTGAAATTTTCCAGAACTCTTTTATGGTGGGAATTGCTGAGCCAGGTCCAGGGATGCCAGCAGAGGCAAACTCCCCGCACAAACAGCCCTCACCCTTTCAGGGACCCTCCAGGCTCTAGGAGGTGGCCCCTGCTCTCAAGTACAGAGTGTGGGAGAGTTTGACACCTAGATCTGCTGTTTCTGCCCCCTGGAAGGGAATGAAGATAGTCACCTCTGAAAGAAATCCCTGTGAGCTGCATCAGTTCTTGCCACATCAGACGGTCAGGCTTCTGCATGGCCGGCTTAGGGCCCCCAAAAGTACTGGCAACAACCAGATGTTATTGGTGTCCAGATTTTATTGGGCAGAATGATCGAGACTCCTGAGTTTTATCACTGTTAGTTTGCCGGGACTGGCAGAAAAAAATACCACAGACGTGTAAACAATAAAAATTTATGGTCTCATAGTTCTGGAGGCTGGACGTCCAAGATCAAGGTGCTGGCAGGGGTGGTTTCTCCTGAGGCCTTTCTCCTGGGCTTTCAGTTCCCACTGTGTCCTCACGTGGCCTCTCCTCTGTGCTTGTGCATCCCTGGAGTCTCTTTCTCTTCTAGTAAGAGCACCCGGTAGGTTGGATTAGGGCCCCACCCATGTGACCTCATTTAACCTAATTGCCTCTGGAAAGGCTCTTCAAATACAGTTACATTAGGGAATAGCATACTAATTCAATATATGAATTGGGGAGAGGGGCACAAGTTAGTTTATAACAATCACTCACTAGCCAATTCCTTAATCTCTTTGAGGCTTCAGTTTGCCCCTCTAGAAATAAGGCCTCTTGCCTGTCTGAGCCTTTTCACCTGCTCTGAGGAGCATTTTTTTTTTCCTTTTTAAAAAATATATTTTATTGATTTTTTTACAGAGAGGAAGGGAGAGGGATAGAGAGTTAGAAACATCAATGAGAGAAAATCATCGGTCACCTGCCTCTTGCACACCCCCTACTGGGGATGTGTCCGCAACCAAGGTACATGCCCTTGACCGGAATCAAACCTGAGACCTTTCAGTCTGCAGGCTGACGCTCTATCCACTGAGCCAAACCAGTTTCGGCCATTTATTTTTTTTTTTCCTGATGGGATTCCCAACTGATAATGATCATTGCTAAGACAGTGCCTTAACATTTCTCAAGCACTTCCTGAGTGCCAGGCCCTATCTGAGCACTGTCCGTGAGCTATCTCATGTCATTCATCTACTCAATAGCTCAGGGAGGTTAATGGAACATTGTGGCTGCCCTTAGCTGGTCTGTTTGCCAGCAGACCTATTGATCTTGCAGGCCTTAAGTCCATGACAGGAATTAAGACCTGTGCCCTGAGGGTCATGCTGGAGCTAAGGATTGGTCAGCTGTTGTGCTGTTGCTAAGGACTGTTGACCAGACAGCTTAACGTGCTGAGGATTCCTGCAGGTGCCATGCCTTATCCCAAAGGCGTAAATTGTTAGAAACATGAAGGGTAGCAAGGTACTGAATTTGGATTAAGGGTTGCATTTTTTTTAAATATATTTTATTGATTTTGTACAGAGAGGAAAGGAGAGAGATAGAGAGTTAGAAACATTGATGAGAGAGAGTCATTGATCAGCTGCCTCTTAGACACCCCCTACTGGGGATATGCCCGCAACCAAGGTACATGCCCTTGACCGGAATCGAACCCGGGACCCTTCAGTCCCCAAGCTGGCTCTCTATCCATTGAGCCAAACCGGTCTCGGCAAGGTTTGCATTTTTAGAACCCTTCCCCAAATGTCAGATCTCCCTGCTTGAGCTCATATAAGTTGATCCATGCTTTCATGCTGCAAAATTGATTATTTATTCATTCATTCCAAAAATAGTTGAGGAGTACCTAACATTCCTGAAGTGCTGTCTTTGGTAATGATCACACAGGAAAACAGACAAAATCAGCTCTGCCCTTGGATCTTCTATTCTAGCAGAGGAGACAGGCCTTAAACGAATTGTAAGGTAGCTTAACTATAACTGTTACAGATGCTAAGAAGAAGTGTAGGTGTTCTGTTCTGGGCTCCGCCTACCAGTAGCCAGTGTGTGATTGGACTGGCCCCTTTGGTTCTTATGATGATTACAAGATGCCCTTCAGCTGTGACCATCAGAGACTTTTGAAAACACACAGGTTTATTATTTACAAAAACAGAAATGACACAGCACACTTGGGGCCACACTATGAGGTCACAGGTAGAGAGAGAGAGAGCGCTCAGGGCGAGGGTTCTGATTTTATTGGGGTCAAGGGGTTCTGATTTTATTGGGGACTGAGGGTTCTGTGGGCTCAGTTTTTATTGCTGGGTGTAAAATACAAGTTGGATTTTAAAGCACAGGTAGAAAAAAACAAGTGGCCCAATTGGTCGGTTATAAAAATCAACCAAGATCTCTGAGACCAAGGAGCCCCCATGGGCAGAGGGGCTGGCTCTTTATCTAGTCGAATGGCTGGCAATGTGTTCATTTGAGATGGGCTACTTGGAAGGAGACACCTCAGTAGTCGGAGCTTAAGGCAGGCGCTTGCCCTGCACAGAGAAAGCCCACAGCCAGGCCTTCACCACAGCGGGGAGTCTGGGATGTAAGGGGCGCTGACCCCCATCGGAAGGGAATGCCAGTGGGTACGGAGTTGGAAAGAGGAATGAGATCAGCCAGGAAAGGGCCTTTGTTGCAGTAGGCTTCCATGTGAAATGTGTGACTTACCGTGGGACAGGGTCAAGAAAGTCAGAAAGCCATGGAAGCTGAAAGAAGGCCCACGTGCCTGGAGGTTGGGGAAGAAGGATGAGGGAGACGGGACAGGCAGCAGCAAAGAGCCGTGGAGCCCTGGGAAGCCACTCACCTGTTCTAAGCCGGGGTTGGGGGGGGGGGGGGCGGTGAGACAGGAGCAGGTGCTTCTTAAAAACGACTGGCTTCTGAGTCGAATGGGCTTCTCTGGACTCATTGTTTGCTTCTTTCTCATGGATACTGTGACTCCTATTCATTATATTAAAGGTTTCTCTCTTTTGACGGGGATGGAAGCAAGAGTAGAGGCGAGAGATGGTGGTGCCTGGGGGAAGGAGGAAGGAGGTAGGTGGGCTGGAAAGAGACTTGGGAGATAAACTGCACTAGGACGTGGGGCATGAGAGAGAGAGGGCAGGGCGGGCAATGTTGAGGATGCTTCCCAGATTTCTGGCAGAATGGATTAGGGATCAGCAGACTCCCGCTTGCGGGCCAGACCCAACATTCTGCCTGTGTTTGTAAATATAACTTTATTGGAGCAGCCACGCCCAGTCATTTGCATGGTATCCGGGCCTGCCTGCACACCACATGGCAGAGATGTGCTTATGACAGAGGGAGCACATGCCCGCAAAGCCTGAAGTGTTTACCAGCTGGCTTTTATACAAACTTTGCTGCCCTGGGACAGAGGGTATGAGTTTAGCTGAAATAGGGAACGAGCAGAAGATACAGCACAGGTTTAGGTGGACAGAGAAAAGAGGACAAGTTCAGATTGGGAGTCTCAGAGGTACCAAGTGGAATGATCAAATAACCAGGTGGCTCTAGTGGTCCCAGAAGAGAGTGCCCGGGGGAGAGGGCAGCAGGGGGCACTGTGGGAGGAGACAGGATCAGGAGCTGGAACCAGCCACGCAGAGGGTGTGCGAGAAGAGGGTTCCAGAAGAAATCTCGGGGAATTCTAACATGTTGGGGACCCTGAGCGCGTCCTATCAAGTGTCTGATTCTAAGAGCAGCTCCCCACCGGTGGACTCCGGGAGAGCAGTGGGGAGCCACGCAAGAACCTGACCTGACCTTTGGTTACTGAGGCATCTCCTTCCAGGAGGCAGGCTCTGCTGTGGTGCCCAGTGGTGGTCCAGGACCTCCTGGCTACCCAGGCGAGGGCCCCAGGATGCCAGCAGCGGGACCTAAGATGTAAGAGCATGGCTCTGGGGGATGCTGTGGCATCTGAGTGTCCCAGGCAGGACCTGTGGCGTGGGAGAACTGGGACTGGTGGCATTGCTCTCCATCCTCCTGGTGACCGTGCCTGCCTTTCTCTCTACAGCTGCGCCTGAATGGGGGCCGGAACCCCTTCGAGGGCCGGGTGGAGGTGCTGGTGGAGAGGAATGGGTCCCTTGTCTGGGGGATCGTGTGCGGCGAGAACTGGGGCATTGTGGAGGCCATGGTGGTCTGCCGGCAGCTGGGCCTGGGGTTCGCCAGCAACGCCTTCCAGGTGAGAAGCTTCAGCCCCTCCATCCAGTCTGAACCTCCCGTCTCTAGTCAGCCTCCATCCCCCACGGACCTTCCCCGGCCACCCAGAGGGAGGAGAGCCATGTGCCATGGGCTGGGCAAGAGACAGCAACCTCATCCCGGCCTCACTTCTGCCCCTCACGACTCTGAGTCCTGGGGTCAGTCACCCTCTGCTTTTTCCCGCTGCAGAGCGAGGGCCTAGACTCTGGTTTCCCAGTCCACTCAGTTTGCACACACTGGGATTCACCCTAGGCCGGGAGCTGATCTTGGGGTGTCCTTCTATACCCTTTGCAGAGGGAAGCAACTCAGTCCTATGAGCTAATGGACAGCCAGGCCAAGGCCCAACATGCCCTGTGCCTTAGCTTTTCCCGGGGAGGCCCAGTGTAGCCCCTGCTCATGCGTTCTCTGGTTGATTGGCCGCTAAATTTCCACGCCCGGCCAGCACCCTGTCACAGCCGCTGCCCTTCCTCCCCGGGCCCTTCCTCAAAGGGAGTGGCTCAGCGGAGGGCAGCCAAGTTCCTGCCCCTACCGAGAGGCAGCAGGAGAAAGACAAGCAGCGTTTGGCTTCAAAAGTGATTCCCTCTGGACCCCACTGGGAGGGAACAGGCACCCCCAGAGTAGAAACGTGCCAGCAAGAGGTCGGGGTGGGGCAGGAGACGGAAGCCTGGCAGTCTTCCCAGCTGTGCTCCCAACAGCCACCTTTCCAGGCCTCACTTCTCCTCCTGTGGCTTGGAACGGACAGTCCCAGGTCCACAGGACCCCGGCTCAGCTATCCTTAAGCTTCTCCCAGAGCAGGGAAACGGCTGGAGCACCCCGTACCCCCCCCCCCTGCTTTGCTAACCCTGACTCCAGCGCCCTGCCAGGTGGCCCTGCTTGGAAAGAGGGATTCTAAGGGCAAGACCTGGAAGAAGCCTGACAGCCGTGCTGAGCCTGACGGCCGGCCAAGTCCGGGAAGACAGGGAGTCCGGGGCAGGGCTGCCCGTGGCCTCTGGCGCTGCTGTCCGCACCCTCTGGGAGCCGGCTTCCTGGGCAGCACAGCGTCTCCGCTAACTGCCTGTGACAAGCCAGGGCGCTCTGTTTCTCTCAGGAGAGTAGGAGATGGTGCTCATTACACATAGTGGCCTCCCGGCTATTTTTGTTCCTTATCAGCCCATTCCATTATCAGCTGGGGTAGGGCCTGCACCTTGTATCTGTCACTGATTACAAGTCCTGTCCCTTCTCGATGCCCCAGTTTTCAATCTAGAGGATGAGGGATGTACAGTCAAGTTCTCTAAATGTATGGATAGCAAACTAATCATCACTGCCATATGTGAATACATTTCTCCTCTCCTGCCCGTGCTGATCCATTGGTGGTGTCTTCCTGGGGCACCGTGTTGAGAAGGATTCTGAGATCGCAGTCAGCCTCAGAGGAGAGTGCCGTGATTGATTAGTAATGTCTGCCTTGGGCTCAGGATAAGTCAGTGGCAGCATGAGTTGCAGGTGCCAGCCATTCCTAACACACACACAGCACTGAACAGTTTTTTGACCAAAGCTACTTTAGCAACGCTCTCCAGAGGGGAGAAGGAGAGAGAGCAGAGTGACAGCCTCCAGTTCTCATTGTCAGAAGACCTGGATTCTCACTCACTCTGCCACAACAAGCTGCATGGCTTGGATAAGTGTTTCTTGGCGCCTCAATTACCTCCATCTGGCAAAGGGGAACATAAAGGGTTGAGAGCTTTGTGAGGCTGAGCGATGATAGAATGTGAGAAAGTGACCGTTCGAGGTGACATACCGGCCATTTCTTTCGTTGACTCCCCAGGAGACCTGGTATTGGCAGGAAAACATCAATGCCAACAAGGTGGTCATGAGCGGCGTGAAGTGCTCGGGAACGGAGCTGTCCCTGGCGCACTGCCGCCAGGACGAGAACGTGGCCTGCCCCCAGGGCGGGGTGCAATATGGGGCCGGAGTCGCCTGCTCAGAAAGTGAGTTCCTGGGGGTGGGATCCACCCCCCCCCAACCCCACCCAGAGGACCTTGCTTGATGGCGGAGTGGGCTAGGGTTAGGGAGTAATCAAGGTGTCTGGGGGGCCTTGGGTTCGAATCTCAGGGCCACTGTAGACTCTTTAAGAAACCTTGAGCAAATTAAGTGGCTGAGAACTCCTTGCTCTTAGCAGGAGGAGGATTCTGAGGTTAGCAAAGCATGAAGCCCTTGCACACACCACTTCCTTCCTTCCGCCCTCCTCTGTAGGTCATTTTCTGTTGCACAGCCTGCAGGTGATTTTGCTTCCTGGTGACGCCCTGGGCATTCTAGAAAGACTGACAATATAGAAGGGGAAGAAGCCCTGCCAGGATTCAGAATGGCCGAGGGTGTGAAGTCTCCCTCCCAGGCTGAGAGGACCAGGGAACAGCCTTCGGGCCTGTCATCTCCTGATCCCCAAGCGCCACCCTCCCCACGCCCTTGTGAATCAGGGAGGCCGGAGAGGCCCGGGGGATCTGAGACCAGACCCGCCTGCCACTTACTGCTGATCTTGACAACGTTAGTTAACCACTATGATCTACAGTTGTTTTTGCTAGAAACTGAAAATTAAACGTGAGAATGAATACCTGCAGGCGCTTGATAAAAAATGATGCACTGTCATTTACCATCCCGGAGAACGAGGAAGACTATGAAACCTTGAGCTCAGTCCGTTCCGTTCTCTCATCACCCCCTGCAAGACTCACTCAGCAAGTCCTCTGCCTGGGGAAGGCAGGGCGCTGGCTGCCAGCGCTGGCTCCTTTGGGCAGACATCCCAAGCTATTGCATCCTGTCTGAGAGGAGAGCCTGAGATCATCGCCCTTGCAGTCCCCTGGGGGAATACATCCAAGCAGCGAGAAGCGAGACAGCTTCCTGATGTTGTCATGGCTTATTAATTCATTTGTATCTGTAATACACCTTCTCCCTCTTCCCCATCCCCCCCCCCATAAAAAGGATATTGAGATAACATAAACCTAAATAAAACTCAAGGTAGCATAAAATACAGGCAGATGAAAGAAAAGTAGATATTGGAAAAAAAAAAAAAAAAAGACTAAACCTACATACAGTGTTACACAGGTTGGGAAATAGTATCACTCCCAAAAGAATCGGACCTACGTATTAGAGGGTTCTTTTGGGGTAGAGAGAACATTGTTACTGTTTGTCATCAACCTTATTATTTTTTAATATATTTTTATTGATTTTTTAAAGAAAGGAAGAGAGAGAGGAATAGAGTGTTATAAACATCAATAAGTTGCCTCCTGCACACCCCCTACTGGGGATGCGCCCGCAGCCAAGGTACATGCCCTTGACCAGAATCGAACCCGGGACCTTTCAGTCCACAGGCCGACGCTCTATCCACTAAGCCAAACCGGTTTCGGCCATCCTTATTATTATAATATTTGCTTTCCATTATGGGAAATCTCAAGCTACTCAAAAGTAGAGAGAATGATATAATGGTGATAGTACGAATCCTATTAAAGATTGCACAATTTCCAAGGTTTTGCCCATCTGCACTGATACCGGCCAAGGCGTCCAACTGGGCACTCAGGGAAGGGGAATGTGGGCTGGTGTTCCTTAAGGAAGGTGACCTTGTGGGAGGGAGACCATGGATCAGTTCCAGAAGGTGGTGCTAGGCAGGGATGGGGGTTTGTCTCAGTTCAGGAATCAGAAGCCAAATACCTGGGAAGGGGGAAGGGGTCTCATCGGATGTTGCTTGAGCGCAGTGTCTGCCCTCCGCAGCCGCCCCTGACCTGGTCCTCAATGCGGAGATTGTCCAGCAGACCACCTACCTGGAGGACCGGCCCATGTTCATACTCCAGTGCGCCATGGAGGAGAACTGCCTCGCGGCCTCGGCTGCCCAGACCAACCCCACCACGGGCCACCGGCGGCTGCTGCGCTTTTCCTCCCAGATCCACAACAACGGCCAGTCCGACTTCCGGCCCAAGAACGGCCGCCATGCGTGGATCTGGCATGACTGCCACAGGTGAGGCCTCCCTTCCGTCTGCAAGGCCCCAGGTGGGACTGAGAATCACAGGGTCCCAGAGGGAGGCCACACAGCCCAGGGGGCCGGGTTTCCTAAGTTGGAGGGGGTCGGTCTGCCACCCTGGCCTGCCATTCTCCACTCCCAGTTGCCCTGACCCACTCCCCTTCCCAGAGCCTCCCAGGCCTCTAACATTAGGAAAGAGACTTGTTTTGAGTATCCCTTTCCCCTCCATGGGCCTGTCAACAGTGTTCAGGTGTGTCCACAGGAGGTGGGCCCTCTACAGGGTGCTTGGGGTTCTGCAATGATTGGACTCTAGGTTCATTTAGAAATCTCTTTTAAACACCAGTATGTGTTTTAAGAATTTCTAGGAAGGTCGTGGGTTTGGAGATAAGCATTCTAGCCCCAGGAGTTCAGAGACCTGGTCTCTCAACCCCGCTGTGCCTCTAACAAGCTGTGTGATGTCAGGACACCTGGGCCACATCACCCAGGACCTCTCCTGTCCCTTCCAGGCCCCAGTCTGTGGGTCTGATCCCAGGGCTGTAAATCCTGGACAGGAGCAGAGTCAAATCCTGGAGCCAGCTCTAGCTGGAGCCAACAGAAGCCGCCTCATTCATCTCCTGCATTTTCCTGTCTTTTCCTTTGCCTTGGTTCTTACTCTAATCCGGAGCCTGCTGCCCCTGCTTGTCTGTGTTTTCCTGCTCAGACCTGGCTGGGCAGGTGGAGGGAGCAGAAGGAGGACACTTTGGGAAAGGAAGGGAGGCAGGCCCAGGCGTGGGTCCAGTGCGTGCCCATCTCTCTCCGCAGAATCCCATCTGCACAGCAGGGCTTTGGCCCGTGGTCCCCGCTTCTCACAGCGAGGCCATGGGCTGGCGTGGCGTGTCAGCCGTCACCGCTACACCCCGGGGCCCGGTGCATGGGAATCTAATTTAACAGGATCGCCACGCACTTGTGGGCACACCACAATATGAGAAGCCCAGTCTAACTCATCCCCAGCGTCCTTCCTGTCCTAGAATGTGCTGATCACCGTTAGGGATCCCCTCTAAGTGCCTGGCGGGGGGCACCCTCGTTTTCAGGGGTAAGGACACAGAGGCTCCGTGTTGGGGTGACACAAGAAGTTACTGGGCAGGGAACCCATCTCGGGCCTGTCTGATTCCAACGTGTGTGCTCTTTCTGTCCCCTCCACTGACCCTTCATCAGAAATCTGTCTGCTTTATCACGGGACAGCTGATGCTCTAATCCAGTGGTCGGCAAACTCATTAGTCCACAGAGCCAAATATCAACAGGACAACGACTGAAATTTCTTTTGAGAGCCACATTTTTTAAACTTAAACTTCTTCTAACGCCACTTCTTCAAAATAGACTCGCACCAGGCTGTGGTATTTTGTGAAAGAGCCACACTCGAGGGGCCAAAGAGCCGCATTGGCTCGCGAGCCGCCGTTTGCCGACCGTGGCCCTAGTCACCTTCGAATCAGCTTGGGGATAGAGTTGTTCAACTCATTCGGGCAGAACGTAGGGCTGCCAGTTTTCCTTTACAATGGCCGTCCCGTGTCCTGAAGGTTGTCATCAGCCATAGAACATGTGCTTTCCGTACTGAAGCATGTCGGTGCAGGGTGGAAGGCAAAGGGTGCAATGAGAGGCATAACCTCATCGGTGCCTGATTTCCACGGGGAACGTGTGGAGGAGGCCTGGGCCTGCGGGCGGACACTGCCTGCGCGTCTATAAGTGGAAGATAATTGCATCTCTGCCCCCACATGACGGTCCACCCAGACATTACACGGCGGAGTGTCTGTGCGACAGATGCTGGCCCTCCTCCGAGAAGGCACATGGGACCTCGTGGAAGCGTCGCTCCAATGGCCTGCCCCCGCTTTTCTGGGGTCTGTCACTTCCCCGCTTACACATGTTCCAGGAAATGGCTTGGGAGGCTGGGCGGGGAGGAACATGTGGCTAAGCATGTGTCTCTTCGGATCTCCCTGCTGATCTAGAACTGAGAACCTGTGGCCATAGGAGCCAGGGAGCATGAGAGCCCCGCCAGCCCCCAGAGCACTGGGGACTCTGCAGGCTCTGCGGGAGGCCTTTTCCACAGAACCCCTGGCCCCAGACCTTTCTGGGGTCCCTTCCTCCACTCAAAAAAATTTTTTTCTCTAGAATATTTAACATCCTGGCTCAGCAAGTCTTACAGATACTCTGAGCCCATCTCTGGACCCAAGGTTGAGAACCCTGGTTCCAATTAGTGCGAATGAGAAAACCATCGCTCCCAGCTGAATTAGTCCTACAATGAGAAACAGGGCCATGTTCTTTGGAAGCCCCGAGATGACCCAGAGCTCGATCCCGCAGCAGTCTCCTCGCCAGCCAGAGGAGGATGGTGTGCTGCGTCATGCTCTCTCACACGCACGGCCCTTGGTGGATGATCTTAAAGAGGTTCCCTCCCGCCTCTCGCACCCGCAGGAAGAGGAGCCAAAGCTCCTAACCGGGCACAGCTTTACAGGGGCCAGATCCAGCTGGGCACCAGGACACACAGCTGTTTGGGGGCTGCCCTCCCCCATGGGGAAGCCCAGGAGAGCTGCCAGGAGCTGGAGAAGCAGGAAGGTGGACATCCCTCTGAGAGGCCAGCCCTCGAATCAGGGGTGGCTTTGCTATAAAGGGGAGACTTGTGTGTATTTTTGTTTGTTTTCTAAATATATTTTTATTAATTTCAGAGAGGGAGAGAGAGATAGAAGCATCAATGATGAGAGAGAATCATTGATCGACTACTTCCTGAATGCCTGGACAGGGGATAGAGTCCACAACCTGAGCATGTGCCCTTGACTAGAATCGAACCCAGCACCCTTCAGTCCGCAGGCCAACGCTCAATACACTGAGCCAAACTGGCTAGGGCAAGGGAAGACTTTTGTTCACCTCACCTGCCTCCCCATGTGTGGAGCAGCCCCCAGGTTGGGTCAAAGCCCCAGAGATGTGAAGTGGCCTCAGCGAGCTTAGTTCAGGCCCTCAGCACATCTGCGGGGCTTTGTTCCGGTCAAGGGCATGTACGGTACCTCAGTTGCAGGCTCCTCCCCAGCCCAGACCCTGATCTGGGCACGTGCAGGAGGCAACCAACCAAAGTGTTTATCTCATATTGATATTTCTCTCTGTCTTTCCCCCTCTCTGCCACTCTCTCTAAAAATCAATGGGAAAATATACTCGGGTGAGGATATATATATATATATATATATATATATATATATATATATTATTGATTTCAAAGAGAGGGATAGAAGAGAATCATTTGATTGGCTGCCTCCTGCATGGCTCACACTGAGGATTGAGCCCCAAATCCAGGCATGTGCCCTGACCAGGAATCAAACTGTGACCTCCTGGTCCATAGGTCGATGCTCAACCACTGAGCCACACCAGCCAGGCATCTGGCCCAGTGTTGTCTGTCATGATGGATGCACCCATCACCTCCTTCCTCCATGAGCATCATGTCCTCGAACACTGGGCTCGATCGAGTTTTTTGGCAGAAGGCCGTCCTTTCTTTAGCCAGCTTACAATGACCTCCATCAAGGCTCACATTATTCTTTCTCCTCAGTGTTCTCGTATTCTTTCCAAGCGAAGTTTTTCCTATCTTTACCCCTCCTCTCAGGCGCCCAAAGTTTAAGGCACCTCAACCTGGGGAGAGGAGGTATATACCCTCATTACCAGGATGCACCTTCCCACCATCTGGGGTGGGGCATGCAGGGGTGATGGGTGGGGTGCCCTGGGCCCTCCAGCCAGCCAGCTGGGAGGAGACATGGCCCAGGGTGGTCTCCACATGCTGGAGAGGCAAGGCAGAGCGGCTCCAGACTGCAGCGAGCTGCAGCTGGGAGGCTCAAACCAGCTGGCCCATCCCCGGGGTTCACGGGGGGAAATTGAAGAGCTGGGGAAGACTTAAATCAAGTGTGCAGAGGCAGGGGAAGCGGGAGGCGGCCAGCCGCACAACAGCGTGTCTGTGGCCTGTCTGAGTTTTGTTTAGACAACGGAACATAAACCTATTTCTCCTCCGTCTTCCAGCTGGTAAACAGGGCAACAGAAGCTGTTCTCAGAGAGACGCAGACATGTTTTAGGCAGTGAGTCAGACCTCGGGCCTCGTCTTGCTCCTGTAAGGAGCCAGAGGAGACTTTGGGAGTCATCGCTCAGCTGCCACAGAATGTGTCCTTGTGCGTGTGCCAGTGGCCCTGGCTCGGCTGCGTTTACACAGAAACATGAGTGACCTGGGAAAAGCCCGGCGTAGGAACTTGTGACACTATTTCCAGCAAAAGCAAACACAGGAGGAAGAGGAAAAGAACCTCTCATTTCCTCTCTGAAAAGCTACCCTGCTAATCCCCCTCCTCCCTCGGTCCTCTGCCGCGCCAGGCCCAGCGGAGGGAGCCTGAGGCTGGCCAGCCAGGGCAGTTAGAGCGAGGAGAACCTACCCTGGGCCTGGGAATGACCGCAGGGACGGTAGCAGTGGCGGTCATAATAAAAAATACTCCTCCTCTTACTAAGAGGGAGGTTAGCAATAAGGAGAGAGTGGACAGGTAAAGAGTACCCCTCTGTCCCAGCTAAGAGTGAGGCATTTCTGCAAGGTCTCCTGCCGAGGCGGGGTCCTGTTACCATTCTCTCTTCCCCAGGAGACAGCTCTGTCACGCGTAGGCCTCACAGGTGCTTCTGCTCCATGTGTGCCCTGGCGCTTTGTCCATGTCCCCGTCCCCCAGATGGCCCCTGAGAGAGGGAGGCAAGCGTGTTCGGTAGTCGCAGACTGTGACACACACTGCCACTCAGGATGGCCGGGCCAGCCGGTGCCTGCAGCCACGTTTCCCCCGTGCGCTCTGCACCGAATGCATCACTTTCCAGGAATCTGCATCTGTTCTCAATTCCTCCCATCCCTGCCCCGAGAGGAGGGGCGCTGTGTGTAAACAGGGAGCCGGCTGCACAGCAACCCTCCTCTGCTTCACTCCCTCCACAGCGGCCTGGCCCCTCGAGGGCCTTTCCTCCGTGCAGGGAGCACAGCCTTCCTGCTGTGCACTTCCAGCTGTGGCCGACCACCCTGCACCCTGCTCCCGCCCCTGCTGGCCTGTCCCAAGTCTCCCCTTCTCCACGAACCTTCCTCATCCTCTTCTTTCCCACTCTACCATATTCCCACTTTAGAAAAGTTTTCAAAAACGTCAACTTTTATTAGTCTGTGGGATGGGTACCAAATAGGAATGGGCTGCAAGAGCCACTGGAGTGCTCAGGGGGCGGGGAAGGAGGTGGTGTTAGAGGCGCTCAGAGCAGATATCTTGGTTTATTGGACTTATTGTATGCCAGGCCCTGAGCATCCACTCATCTCACTAACTCCAGCACCCCATGCATTCCGCTCATTGTTATTCCCATTTAACTAATGACAGAACCAAGGCCCACGAGAGCTGCTGCCCCACTCTGGAAAGGGTGTTGGATTTTATCAAATGCTTTTTCTGCATCAATTGATATGACTATATGATTTTTATCTTTCAATTTGTTTATGTGATGTATCACGTTTATTGATTTGCGGATATTGTACCATCCTTGCATTCCTGGAATAAATCCTGCTTGGTCATGGTGTATGATCTTTGTGATGTTCTTCTGGAGTCGATTTGCTAGAATTTTGTTGAGGATTTTGGCATCTATGTTCATGAGGGATATTGGCCTGTAATTCTCTTTCATTGAGTTGTCTTTATCTGGTTTTGGTATTAGGGTGATGCTGGCTTCATAGAAGGAGTTTGGAAGTGTTCCTTCCTCTTGGATTTTTTGGAATAGTCTGAGGAGGATAGGTTTTAGTTCTTCCTTGAATGTTTGGTAAAACTCTCCTGTGAAGCCACCTGGCCCTGGGCTTTTGTTTGCTGGAAGCTTTTTGATGACTGTTTCAATTTCTTCCCAAGTCACTGGTCTATTGAGATTTTTAGATTCTTCCTGATTGAGTTTTGGAAGTTTGTATTTTTCTAGGAATATGTCCATTTCCTCCAGGTTGTTCAGTTGGTTGAAATAGAGTTGTTCGTAATATTTTGTAACAATCTGTTGAATTTCAGTGGGGTCTGTTGTTATTTCACCTCTTTCATTTCCGATTTTGTTTATTTGGGTCTTCTCTCTTTGTTTCTTATTTAGCCTGGCTAAAGATCCATCTATCTTGTTTATCCTTTCAAAGAACCAGCTCTTGGTTTTGTTGATCTTATGTATTGTTTCTTTGGTCTCTATGTCATTTATCTGTGCTCTGATTTTTGTTATTTCCTTCCTTCTGCTTGCACTGTGCTGCCCCACTCTGGACTCCACGTAAACTAAGGTGACCAGATGTCCCACTTTTGGCGGGACAGTCCCGATTTTTAACAATTTGTCCCGAGTCCCGAGGTATTTTAAAAAAGTCCTGATTTTTTACCCTAAAAAAAAAGAGTCCTGATTTTTTGAAGAAAAATCGGGACTTTTTTAAAACGCCGTGGGACAAATTGTTAAAAATTGGGACATCTGGTCACCTTATGCCGTCACCCCTCCTCTCCCACCAGCCACCCCTTTGGACCATGTTACTCAGGGGGTCCCCACAAGCAAATCGCCAGCCAGGCAGTTGCTAGCAGGCGGCAGTTGCCCCCCCCAAACTGACTCCCCGGCCCTGTCTCTCACCCCAGGCACTACCACAGCATGGAAGTGTTCACCCACTACGACCTCTTGAACCTCAATGGCACCAAGGTGGCAGAGGGCCACAAGGCCAGCTTTTGCTTGGAGGACACGGAATGTGAAGGAGGTATCTTTGTGAGGGTGCTGGAGGGGGTGGAAGGGTGGTCCACACCCAGGTGTGATGCTGGACTCTGGCCACCACTGACTCCCCACGTGACCTTCCTCTGGGGGGGCTTCCAGGCTATGCTTGGGGTTGGAGTGTGGGCAAGGCCTGGCTATAAAGGCACCAGGATCCCCCTGTGTTATGCTGATGGGCACTGGTCAGGCTCTAACTCTTGGACAAGAGACAAGAGTCCCCTCCCACTCTGGCTGCCACAGCCATTGTCCCTGTGTCCCAATACCAAGTGCCCCCGCCCCACAGGCTCTTAGCCTTCAAGTTCAAGCTCAAATGAGTCCATCTGCAACTCCCGGACTCCCAGCTCCCCCAGGCAGAGGCAGCAGCCTGCTCACACTGCTGGGAGGCCGCCCACCGGCACTGGGCACACCTGCCATGCCGGCATGCCTGGGGCTCCTCAAGGGGAGACACGGGATTCTTCTCGGCACACCCAGTGTGTGGAGTAGTGCCCAACGTGAAAGCCTCTGCCACGGATGTGCCATGAGACCACACAAGTGGGTTTTGAGCACCTACTGTGTGAGCTGCTGGCCCAGTAAGGGTCAGACAGACAAACCAGACCTGAGCCCAAATTCAAGTGCTGACTGTCCAGACAGAGACAAGATGCCCCCACATGAAGCTAAACTTTAACTATCAGGGCTTTTCCCGACAAGCGTGTGCTTCATTCCCAGGCCAGTGGTTCCTCCGAAAGGCCGGGGTGGGCTTCGTGGAGGAGGGGGCCCTGGCTGGGGTGTGGTAGAAAATTGGGTAAGCCTTACCAGTGGTCGGCAAACTGAGCCAAATATCAACAGTACAATGACTGAAATTTCTTTTGAGAGCCGAAAATCGACTTCTGCGCATGGGCCACGAAGTTTCAATGTGCCCACACGTGGTATTTTGTGGAAGAGCCACACTCAAGGGGTCAAAGAGCCACATGTGGCTCGCGAGCCTCGGTTTGCCGACCCCTGGTAAGGGGTTCTATTGGAAGGAGAGAGGATCAGATACCACACAATGGGGTGGCATGCTGAGCCCTGATGAAGCGGAGGATGGGGTCTGGGAGTGTCATGCACCCAGCAGGGCTGTTTGGGGTCCTGGGGGGGGGGGGCTGCACAGAAGGCGGAGACACCACGTGTGCATGGTGACTGGGGTTCCCTCGGCACCTGCCTGCAGACATCCAGAAGAATTACGAGTGTGCCAACTTTGGCGAGCAGGGCATCACCATGGGCTGCTGGGATGTGTACCGCCATGACATCGACTGCCAGTGGGTGGACATCACCGACGTGCCGCCTGGAGAGTACCTGTTTCAGGTGAGGGCGTTGGAAGGCGCCTGGGCCCCTGCTGATGGAAGGAAGGGTCTTTTTTTCCCAGGGAGGGGAAGGCAGCCTCCTTTCCGCCGGTGCCCAAACAAAACATACATACATGGCGGCCAGGCTGTCGGAAGTGCAGGCGTCCTGCACCCAGCGGCCTGTGCGCTCCGTCCGGGACCCTGAGTATGTGAGGCGGGCAGGCTGGGGCAGGGCGGGGGACAGGAGGTGGACTGCAGACCTGAGACAGCCGCACTCAATTCACTTAACATCTGGTGCTTTCAAATGAACATGCATCTGCAGCCAGATGTGGCCCTCAGGCCGGGAATCTGTCCCGCAGACGCTAAGGCCAGCGGCCCCATGTGCTCCCTTTGGGGCTGCACTCTCACCTCCTCGGGCTTCTCCTCCCCCCGCCTGGGTCTGGGCTGTCCAGGCTGAAAGCAGTCACAGAAAAAGGCTGTTGTGACGGGAGTGTGCCTGGCACTAGAGACAACCTGTCTAGTGACTGTGGGCACTTGCCAGGGCTGCCAGGTACTCAGTCTGGGGGGAAGACCAGCTAGGGAGGAACCAAGGATGTTAGCTCCTCCCCCTAACCCCTCTATGCCCCCACCACCACCACCTCCCTGCAAATGGCTTTTATTTTATGTTCCAGCCAGGGCCCTGCCTGGTGGGGAGACAAGCTCCTCCCCGGTCTCCCCTCCCGGTGCACAGGTGCACTTGTGCCTGCACAGGCTTCCCACACCCTCTCATTCCCCCCACCCGTCGTGCTTTCCAGCTTGCCCCATGGGTGCCAGAGTAGGTGACCAGAAATGTGTCATTGTGCCTGGAAAGTTTTCCCCGGGGGGGGGGGCACTCCGCCAGCCCACGGCCTGGCCCACAGGCCCCGCCCAGTGGCAGCCCTGGGATGAACCAACACCTGCAGAGAAGGAACCACAGAGTAAGAGCCTCCCTGGGCCATTCCAGAGGCCAGAAATCAGACAGCCCAGCCCTTTTCCGCCCACAAGCCCAAACCGCAGGCCTGGAGCGGCCCCGCCAAAGGGCGGAGCTCGGTGTCTCCAAAGCCGGACCTCTGTGTCTGCACGTACGCCGCGGAGGGCGGCTCGCGTTTGAGGTCTGCTGTCACTCCGCTGGGCCAGCGCGTGTCACCGCCGTGCACTCTGTCCTGACGAGGGCCCTCTGTAATGACCGGCCAGTGGAGACCGACGGCAGGCGCTGTCTCCGCTGGGCCAGTCTGTGGAGATAGTCATCTGATGGCCAGGCACACCCAGCTCACATCTTACTCTTTATTCTGCGTTCTCGACCCCTGAACTATACAGTCCACAGATGAACGCACTGTGGGCACATCAGTGCCGCTGATGAAGGCAGAAGAGTATTTTCCTTGGCGTGGACATGAAGAGTATTTTCCTTGGCGAGGCCTTCAGTAGTGTAGGCCTCCCCATTCCCCCGTGGATCCCCAGGCAGAAACGCTGCATGTGGCAGGGGTGGGGGTAGGTCTGGGGCCAAGCAGGCCCGAGGCCGAGGTGGCTCCCTGGGTGACGAGGTTCCTGGAGGCCTCGCTCTGGCTGCCTTCTCTCCACTCCTGGGTTCACAGCAGGTCTTTTATCTAAGAAGCTAAAGCCCCGTCCCACAGGCCTCTCCAGGTTTGGAACTGTAGAATGTGAATCCAATGGGTTGGTGGAGACCACACACTTCAGTCCCCACTCTGCACCCCAAGGGGATCAAGCTGACCCCGGTGGCCCCAGAGATGAGCCTGTGCCGTACCTGCTGCCCTCGTGGCTGTGCTGTGGGGTGGGCTCCCTGGGGCCAGCTATCTGTGGGCGAGGAGCTGCACAGGCCTCGGTGGGCGGGGTTTGTGTGCCCCGTGCTGTGAGCCACGGCACCTCTGGGAGGCCCAGCCAGCCTGCTAAAGGGTCATTCATGCCCAAGCCCTCCTGGACGGGAGGGTCTTTAGGCCCCAAACCTAGAAACTGTTCCTTAACTTAGATGCCACTTTCCCATCGCCACAGACCCAGGACAGCACTGTCCCCTCAGCACTGGGCGTGGCAGGGCCCTCAAGGGAAAACTTGTCATTTGTCCCCAGTACCTCACCCCCCTCACCTCCAGCCCGGTGCAGCTCTGGTCTATTCTCCCCTCCCTCTTCCCTTTCTCCTCTGGGCTCCCCCCTCGATCTCCCCTTCCTGTCCCTTCTCTGTCCCTCACAGAAGCCCTCTCCACATGACTGCCCTCCCTGTTCCTGCCCCTTGGGGCTATGCCCTTAGCTGGGGAGACCCACAGAAGAGGTGCTAGGGGGTCCAGTCTCCACCACAGCCCAGGCCCTTGGGCTGGCCGAGCAGGGAGGGCTCAGGGATGGCCTAGAGCCGTGGTCGGCAAACCTGGCTCTTTGGTCCCTGGAGTGTGGCTCTTCCACAAAATACCACGGCCTGGGGGAGTCTATTTAAAAGAAGTGGCATTAGGAGAAGTTTAAAAAACTTGGCCCTCAAAAGGAATTTCAATCGTCATACTGTTGATATTTGGCTCTGTGGACTAAGGAGTTTGCCGACCATTGGCCTGGAGCAACACCAAAGCCCAGACAGCAGAAGGGACAGATGGGGGACATCACCACCGGCCATGTCCGGTCTCCAATGCACAGGGCGGCCCTTCTCCCACCTCCCACGGCACCTGTCCTTGCCCCTCCCTGTCTCTGCATGCCCCGCCCCCTTCTGTTCCTCTACAGCCTGTTCTGTGCCTGCCCCAGGTCCCCACTCCTGCCTCTCCCCCACTCAGGCCCCCCAGGGCACCCGGGAGAGGGAGACCCCGTCCGAAGGCTGCTTTAGGCGGGCTGTGTGAGTCACACTGAGGGGCAGGGGCATTCACGCCTCCAGGGCTTGCCCGCTGCCTGCCTGGCCTGCTCTGGCCAGCCCTGCGCTGGCTCCTCAGCGCCGCCACGCTCCCTCTCCCAAGGCCACGGGCTCTGGAGGCAGCGCCGGCCTCGGCAGGGCCCTGGGCCGGGTGGCGGGGGCTGAGGCAGGACCAACTCTCCCCCAGGTTGTCATTAACCCCAACTACGAGGTGGCCGAGTCTGACTACACCAACAACATCATGAAGTGCAGGACCCGCTACGACGGCCATCGCATCTGGATGTACAACTGCCACATAGGTGAGGCCCCTGGACAGCCCCACCCCCACCCCGGGGGGGACCCCAGGCCTGCTGGCTCCCCCCACCCCCACCTCCCATGGCACAGGCAAGAGCGTCCCTGCTTCGTCAAAGAGCCAGAGCAGCCCCCTCCTCTGGTGCAGCCAGCCTCCCGCTCCACGCAGGGACGCACGGAGGGCCTGGCTGCGGGTTGGGCTTCACACCAGCCTGGCCAAGGGGGCGGCGACCCCACAGCTATGTAGGGGCGGGCGCTGAGGCCACACCTCATCTGCATGTGCCCTCAAACATGTGGGCGTCAGCATATGTTTGTGGCTCTGTGCATTGCATCGTTTTCTTGCCCGGAACTGCCCTGTTTCCCTGAAAATAAGACAGTGTCTTATATTAATTTTTGCTCCCAAAGATGCATTAGGAAAAAAAAAAAAAAAGATGCACTAGGTCTTATTTTCAGGGGATGTCTTATTTTCCCATGAAGAAGAATACGGTACACATCTATTGTTAAATGAAAATAAAGGAAATTTATTACCTGTATGCGGTACGGTAGAACGGTAATTGTCAACACAAACCAGACAAACTGAATCCTACAGTATCAAGAATTTACTCATTTATTCAATGACAATCATGTCATCATCTTCTCGGACATCATCATAACAATCCAATTCCTGAATTTCCTGGTGAATTTCTTGTGACTCCATTTCTTTCAGAATCAGTGGACCAAATCTCTCATGTTTAGCCTAAGGGGGGGGGGGGGGGGCTTATTTTTCACTCAGAATGAAACCTGTAAGTAGGTCTTATTTTTGGGGAAACGTGGTAAAAACTGGTGAACCAACATGGTCTCTGTCCCCATAAAAAAAAACCTCCCTCGCGTTACCCAGCCTGGGGCACGGGAGGGAGGCCAAGCATCTGCTGAAGTGGTGATCCTCGCGCGTGGTGAGGGCAGCCGGAGCCCCCGGTGTCCATTCACCCCTTCGCTCCACTCCCAGAGCACCTGGTGGTGCCTGGTCCTGCGTGCGCCCGGTGGTGGCACAGAGAGGTGCCCAGCAGGCCCCCGGGTGGAGGGTGGTGGCTCCACGGCCAGGTCCGATTTGCTAAACTCTGTCCCCCTGATGCCCGCCCCTCAGGTGGTTCCTTCAGTGAAGAGACGGAAAAAAAGTTTGAACACTTCAGCGGACTCATAAATAACCAGCTCTCCACGCGGTAAGGCCACTGCGGGCCACTCCCACCTGCGGGCTGCAGCTCCTCTTCCCGCTGCCGTCTGCCCGATGGACGCCACCCTCCCCTCACCCGCCCGCCTGCCATCTGGACACTGCGGCCACGGCCACGGCCACGCTCAGGAGGAAGGAGTGCTCCAGAGTGAGCTTGTCCGCAGGCCGTGGGGACAGCGCACCAGCCATCCTGTCCAGGACGCCCGGCCGTCATCGCGTCCCACCCAAACCACAGCCCCCCGAGCCTGACACCGCCCTGCCCAGCTGACCACTGATAACCTAGGGCCGTCTCTCCTCAGGTGCCACTTGGGCGACGCCAACTTACACCCTGAGGGGTCAGGCTGGCTCGTTTCTCCTCCTCTTAGGTGGTTGCCAGCCAACTTGAATGTCTAGCGCTCTCTTCCAGCTACACCGCCTCCCCTCCCCTCCTCCTGACCATGTATAGAATAAGCTCCACGTGTCCTCTGAGAGGTGAGCTCAGAGTCGGTGCTTCTCCCCACACCCCCTGCCTCCTGTTTCCAAGACAACATCATCATATTCTGTTTTCGTGGACTTTGAAACACAAAGTAGTGGTATTTAATACTGGCGATCTAGGCCTTTGAAAATACAGCTCAAAGGAAAACCCGCCCCCGTGTGGCTCCCGTTTGTCGGCGCGAGGCTGCGGGTCACTGTTAACGGTGCTAGGACCAGGGTCCCGGGTGACGAGGACGCGCCCCCAACGCCGTGTCATCACGGACACTTACACATACTTGAAACTTGGAATAAAGCGTTGATGACGTGCGTCTGTGTTTCATTTGGCCTGTGCCCCGCCCCCGAGCAGCAGAGCTCCTGTCCAGCCAGACTGGGGCCCACTCCCGCAGAGCTGGGCTCCGCTGTGGCTGCAGGGGCCCCCTTCCACACACCCCCAAAGAGCAACCCTGCCCCTTGAGAGCGGCCTAAGGAGGTCACAAAAATGAGTCACAACCTCTCTTGAGCTCTTATTTGCCCAAATTTGTCAGGGGGCATGCAGTTGTGCAAGGGTCAGAAGGGACATTTAGCCTGGATTCAGGCTCCATCTAAACCAGAAAACTGAGGGGCCTGTCCCCACAAAGATGTCCCTGCGTCTGCCCTTGTCGGGGAGGCACACGCGGTGGCCACTTCAGAGTCCACCACTGGGCCTCGATCACGTTTGTTTCTGCAAGGAGCCCTTTGAGAGCCGTATGGACAGGAAACACGGGGGCCAGCCCAGGGGGGGCCAGCAGCACCGCCAATAGCCACAGCCATAGCCACCCTCACTCCCCCAAGCAGGTTAGGACACCCAGCTCAAGAGGGGACACCGCTCAGGTGTCACACAACGGCTGCAACCAGCTCCCCAAGCTGGGCAGGTTTTGCACGGAGATGCCCCCAGGCCCGGCAGAGCCACTCCTGGCAGTCTTATGAGTGACCAGTTTCCAGAACCCGCAGGTCTACAATGGGAGGCAAACAGCGCCCTCTAGTGTCCCACGGCAGGCCACGTTTTGAAGCAATCACATAACTTTTTCTTCTCACCCTGAGGGTATTTTTTCCAGGAAGAGTGGAAGGGAAGGGGAAAGAAACATCAATATAAGAGAGAAACATCGACTGGTTGCCTCCCACATGCTCTCCGGCCAGGCCAGGGATGGAACCTGCAACCCAGGCAGGTGCCCTTGACCAGGAATCAAACCCATTACCTTTCAGCATGCAGACTGACGGCCTAACCATTGAGCCACACCAGCCAGGGCAGTTTATGAGAACTTAAGTGTTTATTTTTTTTCTCAACTTCTGGAAGTAGACCGAGTTGAAGCCCACCCCGCCGCACAGTGGCGCTCCGACGGGAGCTCAGGGCTGCTCTGTGAAGGCTTGTGGTGTTGAGGTACCGGCTTGTCACGGGGTGTCGATCCAGGCTGGCCGGGCCTCTCAGGGCCTCGGGGAGGTAGGAGACTCAACAGTGGGCCGCTCTTTCTTGTTGTGTTGAAGCCCCAGGGCCCGGGCCACCAGCCTCCGGGCCACTGCTGTGCTTGTCTGCGGTCTCTCCTTCGCCAGACGCAGGAGCTCTGAAAGGAAACCCCGTGGGTCGGGGACTCGAGTCCAAGACCATGCCACCTCTCCTCCCAGCGACGGCAGCCTCAGAGGCCACCTGAACCAGCCTCCAGGACCAGTGTGCCCGCAGCCTGGCCAGATGCAGTGAGGGGCCCGCCTCGGGCTGCCGGGTCCTGACCTAACCCTGCCACCTCTGTGCCCTGCCTGTTCTCCCCCGGCACAGGACCCTCCCTGCTCTGTAGGGAGGGAAGTCACATCAGGGTGGGACACCTAGAGCTCTTGGGCAGACGGGGCATTTACTGACCCCCAGAAGCTCGGGGCAAAGGCCACCGATCCACAGAGTGGTTGGCGTCACTTATTCGGCCCCTTTTGTATGCCTCTCCCCTCCTGGCAGGTCTGCCAGGCTCTTTTATTTACGCCCCCAGCATACTCTGTATGATCTGCTTATCTTACAGAGAAAGAAACCAACTCGCACTCATTCAGTGGCTCACCCAAGGTCAGCTTAACTAAGTGACGAAGCCAGGATCGCACGCAGGGCGGACTCTGTTTACCCCTCTGCTCAGCATGGTTCCCACGGACGGGGCGGGGGGGAAAGACCCAGCTTCTCCCTGAGCGGGGGTGAGCAGGAGGGCAAGCCCGGAACAGGGCAGCTGGCAGACGCCTGCGGGGCGTCCCGGCACCCGGGGTGGGAGCAGCACCCCATGGCCATTGAGTCAGGGGTCTTAACGCAGAGAGCTGGACGGGGAGGGGGGCTGACGGACACGCACGGCCTCCCAGGGGGGACGGCCGCTCCCTTACTTGGCCTCTGCAGGGCCTTCAGCTTGGACTGCTTGCTTCCCTGCGTGAGGGGCCGGATCTTGAGCCCCGAGAACTCCCTGGTCAGGGCTTCAGCGGCTGTGGAAAGAAAACATCTGGGCATCTTCCTGGAAAGGCCCCCTCGGGGCCCAGGAGCACACATCCCGCCCAAGACAAATGCGGCCACTCCATGCGCCATTCAGAGCCCAGGGACAGGGCTGCCCAGAGGCCACTGTGCCAGCTGCCCACCGGCCCCCGCCCCACCCGCCCGCACGGCCCCCTGGCGCTCTCAGGGGGAAAGCCTGCGAGCCCAGCTTCCACCCTCCGCCCTGCGCTGATTTAGACCTAAAAACACAGCGCTTTCAACACGCGAAGCCCCTAGGGCTTGGCCTGTGACGCTTGCTCGGCGTGTCCTGCACCCGAAGCCTCTGGTCGGAGGGCACGGACGAGAACAGGAAAGGCTGTGACCGCCTGGCCCGGAGCCCACCCCGCTCCCCGGACCCCCGCACCAGGGCTGGGAGGGGCTGCCACCTGGACACGGGCGTCTGCGCCAGGGAGACCAGGGCCCTCCCCTGCCGGTGACAGAAAGGGCCGAGCCCGCGCGAAGCCGCCTACCCGAGGCCAGGCAGGGAAAGACGCCGAGTGCGTGCGTGTCGTCCACCCAGTGAATCTTGAACTCCTTCTCTCTGCGACGGGGAAGAGAGAGTATGAGAGCGGAGGGCAAAACCCTTTCTGCGAAAGGAAGCCCCCTCCCTCCCCCCATCCACAAACACTGCGAGCCCAAGGCAAGTTCCGTCTCCTCGGGGAAGGAGACGCCATTCCCAGCAGACCTTCCCTGAAGACCATGTGGTTGGCTTCCGCAGACAAACCACCCCCTGGCCGGGTGGGTCCCTGCTCCTGGGTCCGGCAAAGCCAGGACGGAGAGAACTCAGAGACCAACACCACGGTGATGAGGCTCCTACTGGCGCTGGCACAGCCCCCAAGGGGGTGGGGGTCTGAGGCTGCAGACAGAAGGGTTGTGTGGCAGGGACAAGGAACAGGATCTAAAATACCCAGGTTTGTGTTACTGCCTCCGGATCAACTTCTCCCCGTCTCAGGCAAGCAGCACTGAGCCTGCGGCCACACAGCAGCTCCCACCCCAGCGCCTCCGGGGCCAAGGCTACGCTGCCTGGGAAAGTCACAGGGACCCCAGGGTGGCCATGTGAAAAAAAGGGGTTTTTATTTCTTCATTTACTTCTTTTTGTTAATCCTCACCCCGACGATATTTTTCCATGGATTTTTTTGAGGAGAGTAGAAGAAAGAGGGAAAAGACAAGAGAGAAACACTGATCTGAGAGAAACACATCCATTGGTTGCCTCCAAGCCGGGAGAAGCCTACAACCAAGGCACACGTCCTAACCTGGAATTGAACCTGGGACCCTTTGGTCCGCAGGCTCTATTCACTGAGAAAAACCTGCTCTATCTACTAGGACAGTGTTTCCCAAACTTTTGACATATATGTACCCCTTCTATAATGTTTGTCACGCTGAGTACCCCTCGTACTCATGAGAACGTAGAATTAGGCGCAGCTAAGCACGGTGCAGTGCATATCCCCGCCAAACTCCGGTGCAACGCGTACCCCCACCAAACTCTTCCCGTACCCCTGGGGGGACGCGTACCACACTTTGGGAAACACTGCACTAGGACTCCGTTGATTTTTAGAGAGTGGGAGGGAGGGGGAGAGACAGAGAGAGAGAAACACCCATGTTTGGGTCTCATCCATTGGTTGCCTCGAGCATGCACCCCGAACAGGGCTGGGGATGGAGCCTGCAACCGAGGTACGTGCCCTTCACTGGAATCGAACCCAGGATCCTTTAGTTCGGGGGCCTATGCTCTATACGCTGTGCCACACCAGCTAGGGCAGGAAAGGGATTTTTAAAAGCATATGTAGGAAAAGAGAAAGGGACTGGAGAATGGAAAATGAGCATTAAAAAAAAAAAAAGAAAAAAAAGAAAGAAGAAAAGACTGGCCTTGGAGTTTAGGAATTTGGGGAAAGAAGAGAAGTCTCTGAGTATATCCCTTCGGCTCCCATTTCCACCTCGGTTCTTCCCAACTCGGTTCCCGCACGGAGGTGGCCCTCATGGGGCGGGGTGTGTGTGTGTTAGGCCGCACTGCCTGCGTCCTGC